GGCACCTGGGTTTAAAAAGGAGCTCACTTCAGTTTGTGTGGCGCATGTGGGGAGCTGGGAGCAAGAGGCGCGGGGAGCTGAGAGTGAGAACACGGACTGTTGGAGGACTGAGGAGTACAAGCATTATCAGACACCAGGAGGAAGGTCCTATGGTGAGGATAAAGAAGGTGTTGGGAGGAGGCCATGGGGAAGTAGCCCAGGGAGTTGTAGCTGTCACACAGCTGTTCCAGGAGGCACTCGGGACAGCTGCATTCCACAGGGCCCTGGGCTGGAACCTGGAGTCGAGACTAGGCCCAGGTTCCCCCAAACCTCCCAACTCCTGGTCAGACACAGGAGGAGCTGACCTGGACTGTGGGTTCACAAAAACGGCCAAACTGAGGGCTGCCGTGAATCTCCGAGGCGAGCAAATCCGCCAATAAGCGCAAGACCCACCAAGGTAGAGGAGGAACTTTGTCACACCAGACAGGAGCCATTAGCTTCACCCTGGAGGCCAGTTGGTCTCCTGGAGGCCAGTCCATGGGCTGTGATTCACTGAATTAAATGACAGGTTTCAGAGTAGCAGCCGTGTTAGTCTGTATTCGCAAAAAGAAAAGGAGGACTTGTGGCACCTTGAAGACTAACCAATTTATTTGAGCATAAGCTTTCGTGAGCTACAGCTCCACTGAATGCATCCGATGAAGTGAGCTGTAGCTCACGAAAGCTTATGCTCAAATAAATTGGTTAGTCTCTAAGGTGCCACAAGTCCGCCTTTTCTTTTTACTGAATTAAATGAATCTTATCTCCGTCCCCTTCTCTGTGGGTCCGTGTCCCTGGTGCAAACCACTCCTGCAGCTGGAGGAAGTGGGGCTTTCTCCCAAGTTTTGGCGTAGACACTGTGCGGAGTAGGCCACAGTCATCCGGACTGACCGGCCCTGCTGTGTTGGGATCAGTGCTATGCAGAGGTGCTCACGTTGCATTACCTGGGCTATGTCTGGTAGATAGAGGACTTGAGTCTTCTAGCACCAGTCCTGCCGATATCCGACCACGTCTGGTATTCTGCTGACCTGACTAGTTTGGGGAGTGAGTGCTGTCCTGTCAGTGACTCCCGCTGGCTCGCTTGGCGTCTCTCTAGTAACCCTAAATCAATAGGATTTAGTAATGATCCAGGAGGAAAAGTTGCCCTCTCCTGACCTCGCTTCTGTCTAGGAAAACAAGTAGCTGCTGAGTCAGGCTAGTCAGACGCTTTGATCAACTTTGTTAATAGCAAATCGTTTTTTGACAAAATGAGAATCTTTGCAGAAAGCTGCTGCTTTTCTCACTCTCGTTTTTTGTTTGGTCAGAAATGGCTTTGCCTGAATCTGGTGTTTTCCACAGTTGAACTCTTCCTGTGGGAAAACTTGAACATGTGAAAAATTGTCAATTTTCATCCATTTTCTGCAGGGAAAGAACCGGTCCTGACCAGCCCGAGTGCTGGCACAGAGCCCCATGTATTCTCCCTTGGGTGTGGGTGTTGTCCGCCTCTGGCATGCCACTCAGCTGGCTGTAAAAGCCCCAGTCCGTTCAGTCCAAACCAAAACTACTTGCAGAGTTCTCTCAAATTTAGTTGGGTTTTTGAGGAGACTGTACTGTCCTGAGCGTGCAGGGCTTGGGAAGAACTGAGTGGTCCCCTCCCAGAAGCCATGCTGTAATGAAGAGAATCCAGGTAGAGCAGGAGAAATGCTTGGAGTGTCCTAGTGGATAGAGGATGGGGACTTGGGAGAACTGGGTTCTATACCTGGCTCTGTCCCTCTTCTGCTGGGCTTGGGCCTCAGTTTCCCTATCTATAAAATAAGGATAACACTTACCTCCTTTAAAGTATTCTGAGGTCCACAGATGAAAAGTGCCGTATAAGAGCTAGGTGGAGATGATAGGGAGGCGAGAAAACACTAATTTGTAGTATGGACAAGGGTGCTCGTGACCAACTGCAGGCATGCTGGCTTGTGTGGCTAAAACTCTGCTAGTAACCAGGGCAGCTGATCATGTCTGCCCCCCTAACCGAGGCCTAGCTTGGGACATGGGTGTATGCGCCTATGTTTTGCTCCCTATGGAGGGTAGGAATCTCTAACAATGTTGATGATCTGCTTTAGCCAGCCTCTGTGCAGAGCTGGGAGGTAAAGCATCTGGGAGACTGCTGCTCTGTGTGAATGCCCCTGGACATGCTGGCTCACGCTGAGGTGCTGTGTGAGTTCAAATGCATTCAGCCAAGGTAGGTGGGGAGGTGGGCGCAGCTGCACAAACAGTTGTGCTGGCAGAAGCTGCCGTGTGGGCGCAAATGAAACTGCAGCCTTTGCCCTGTCTGGCTACAGAATTGCTGCTCCCTGCCGATGGGGAGGTGGCAGCCAGCGGGAGCTTTGGAAATGGCCATCTCTTTTGCTGGGGGGCTTATTGGAGAGTGAAAATGCTCAACCCAGGCAGTCTCAAGCCTGGTGCAGGGGAGGTGGGGGGAACTTCAGTCTCGGCAAGCGGGGCTGTGCCTGGCTGTCCGGCATGTTCATGTGGAAAGGTGGGAGAGAGCTGCTGCTGCCCATGGTGTGAGAAGGTCTGGTTAGGGTGCTCGCTCCTTCTGCCCCCAAGCTGAGAGCCACTTTAACAAGACACCCCTCCCTCTCCTTCCCCTGCCAGCATTAGGGAGAGCATGAAATACTCTGATTCCTCATTAACCTTCCCCAGGTTCCAGATGTGCTGTCACACCTTCATCTTCATCATCCTCCCCTGTAGGTGGCAGTAGCTATACACGCACACCTGAAACAGCCAGTATGCGCTGGTCAGCTGATCTCTGGGCCCCACACTCCAATTCTGAGCTCAAAGGACCCTGTCCCACCACTATGGCTTCTAAGCGCAGATCCAAACACACGCTCTTCTCTTATTAGATCAAGTCTTTTGTCTTAAACAGTGTGCGTGTTACAGTGAGATTTTCTGGCACTTAAGCACAGAAAATAAAATCCGCTCGTGTTCAGGTGTTCCACACACACCCCATCTCTCTTATCCCCTACATCTGCTGAGGGAGGCTGTTGGCTTCCAGCACACTCCCAGCATACACGCTTGCTTCCTCTGCCTCTCCGATGGGGACACCTACTGGCTGCGCCATCCCCTGCCCCCCCATAGCTGTTAGCATGCAGGAGGTGAAGGGCTGAGCGTTGGAGCAGTGAAATATGGGGTTTATCCAGCACAGCAGGCTCTTTGCATAGGTGCTAGAAATGTATGGGCAGCTTATCTCTGGTAGCTGCTGAATGCCCTGGCCCTGTGTCATTGCTCTGTTCGTCCCAGCCCTGTGGCATGCCGGGAAGAGGGATGGGAGGCTTGCAGTTGGAAGTTCTGGTTTTTAACTGTTAACCTTAATTTAAATGAAACTCTGGCTTGGCACTTAATTCCATAAGGGCTCCACCCAGCTGTGTGGGTGGTAGGAGCAGCACCCTAATCTCTGCTTGCTGGCAGGAAGCTTGTGTGCATCCTTGTACAGGGTGGGGTCTTGGTTCTTGAGTCTGCACGAGTCATCCTGTCTCTGCTCCATGGAATTCCCTCAGCAAACAGCCAAACTCTCGCTTTCTTTACTAGAAACTAATCCAGCTGTTTCCAGATTGCTGTAAATTGGCTCCCTTGGTTTCAGAAACAATGACTGCTTGTGCTGTAGGGCGCTGAGCCCAAAACTCAGTCACATCATCAGTGCTCAGCCCAATGTCTTGCCACTGGGTGCTGAGCTCTCCTGAAAACGTGGCTCCTGCCCAAAGAGTCCGCAGCCTAAAGCAGTAGGCAAGACTGAGTGTGTTGGGGAAACCCAACAGTGGGGCTAGCATGGCCCATCTCCAACAGATTCAGGAAATAACTTTTCTCTTGCCAGAACTTCTGAAGCAGCTCTTCTTAGTGCAGCAATGGGGTCTGTGCGGCTGGACCCCAGTACCTGTGTGGGGAGCCCCATTGAAGCCAGTGGTGCTCCCTACAGATACAGAGCTCTCCTCTGAGTTCATTGCGGGATTGAACCCTTGCTTCTTTGTAAAGAATAACTGGCCAAGATGGCACTGAGAAGGATCCCAAGCTGCTCTGTGCCTTCCCGCAAAGCTCTTTGGAGTGAGCATCTCTCCAAATAAGTTGCATTAGGCAGATATCTCAAGTAGCATTACATAAGGGCTAATGTACCATGTCTAGTCATCTTGTATGCTGGAAGATGGCAGGTGGTGAATCTACTGACCTGGTTCCTGTAGTAGGCTGTTTCACTAGACAAAGCTTTCCCCCTGCAGATGGCAGTGTCTTACAATGATGGTGCAGATAGATGTGAAGAGAAATAAACAAATGACTTCCAGGGAGAGGTCTACAAAATCCTGTAGTTCGTGTGTTTGATCATTGAGCTCAGTAGAGAACTTGTTTGCCCTTTGTTTATATGGGCCTTTCAGTTATGTAGCTTGGACTGAGAAAGTCAAAGCAATTTCCCAGACTGGGGAAGAATGTCACACCTTTTTGGAGCACAGCAGGCCTGTGGCAGAGTGCTGGCGTCAGGGGGCGAGCAAATGGTAGTTTGATTGACTAGCCTTGGCACTAAAGTGTCCTATGAGGGGTTCACTGCTTCTCTGCACACCTCTGATCTGGGAGGGCGACTGTTCTGCAGAGCAGTGTGCTGTACTGCACAGAGGAAGCTGGTCCAAAGGTACCCTTGTGTAAGACCTTGTGCGGGGAGGCTGTCGATGAGGGTGGGGTTATGTGACAACTGTTTTGGGACAGGAATTGAGGGACGTTACATCCTCCTGCCCCCCCTAATAAACTACAGGGCAAATTAGGCAGCTTCCAGCTCATGCAGGGATATCCCAGGACATGTGTGAGAGCAGGTAAATGAGAGAGGTGTTGACACCTTTTTTGGTCCTTAGGCCTGTTCCTCTGCCTTAACAGATTCTTTCTCCTGCACTAGTGCTGCATCTTCCACACCGTAATGCAAACATTGTCGACTCCATGAGACCTGCTGCCCTGACTTCGCTTCTCTTTTCTCTATGCAGAATCATCAAAAATATCGTCAAGAACTTCAAGTATATTTATGGCCTGAGGTTTGAGGCAACAGGTCTGGAGAACTTCCAGATCAAGGAGCCATGTGTCATCGTGTCAAATCATCAGAGCATCCTGGACATGATCGGTGAGTTGCTTGGGTTGAGAAAGAAGCTGTCTCATTTGAAAGTGAACTGTTGGGTGCACCTAGCTTTGCTGTTGGGGAAATCCTGCGCTTGCCCCTGATTTGGGGAGTCTCCAAGCCTTGTAGTGGAAGAGGCTCCAGGAGACCTGTCTGTATGTCACACAGTGCATTGGTCAGTTCTGCCTATGGGAATTGCCATTTACGATGTTGAAAGCTACAGCAGTGTTTTGAGTGGGGAGATGCACAGTGTAATGGGGTATTGGGTGAGCAGGGAGGGGTATACTTGCGGTTGGGCTCTCTCCACAGAGCAGTGGAAGTGCTGAGCTCTGTAGCCTGGTACGTAGTGATCTAGGTATTGCCAGACTGGATCAGACCCAAGGTCCATCTAGTCCAGTATCCAGTCCATGACAGTGATCACTGCTAGATGCTTCAGAGGCAGATGTAAGAACAGCAGTGGGATAATCAAACACAGGCACGCAAGAGGGACTCAGTGTGGCTTACAGCAGGGGTATGAGAGTCCTAGTTTGAATGGTCACTGACTGGCTTCGTGCCCCCTCAGGAGAAGAATGTGGCTCCCCCCCCTTTTTCCTTCTGCCCATGCTCTCTAGTGATCCTCTGCAGGATACTTGTTACTACAGCTCGCTGAGGCTCTGAACAGGTTTAGCTGTACCACCCCAATTACTGACCCATGGCAGGCATGGGTCAAGTCTTAGCCTTCAGTTGAGTGGAAAGGTTCTTCTGCCCTCGCCCTGAAATAAAGGCCAAGGTCTCCCCATGGCTTAGGGCCTGTTACTTCATTCAGAATTTGAAGGCTGTCCTATTAGGAAGGTTGGCTTGCAGCCCTCTGTCCTGCAAAGACAGAAAAGGCCAGCCATGCAGTGAGGTATGTGGAGTGACACCTGGAGGCCATACTTCCACTTTCTCCAGGTTGGGACAGTAATTGGATCCTGTGCATCATCCTTCCATGGGTAGATATGCCAGCTGGAATGCCTCTTGTTGCACTGTCTGGCTCGCTTGGGTACGTCCCAAAGGCTTGTTCATCTTAATAGATAACGTTAGCATGACAGGGGTAGTGAAAGGGTTTTAACAACAAACCACCAGAAAATAAGCTAATGGAGCCCTTCAAACGAGGGAGGAGACTCTGGTACACCTACTTTCTAGCTGCAACCTGTCTGGTGGCTCAGCAATTGAAACGACATTATTATTATTATTTATCATAGTGCCTTAGCCTGTCATGGACCAGGAAGCCATTGTGCAGGTGCTGTACAAACACAACTAGAGTCTAGGATCACCTGTTTCTTCCAAAGGTGGTGGTGTTGTAACCCCATCTTGCAGACAGGGGAGTAAGCAGGGAGGGTCTAAGGCAAAGTGAGGAGTGATGGCAGAGTTGGGAATAAAACCGCAGTTTCCTCCATCGCAGCGCGATGATCCAGCCATTGGCTCCTGCTGCCACCCTGTAAGTGCAAAACATTAAAAAAATTGCCTTTCTGGGCTGCAGCCCCTGTTAGAGAGGAAGAGGCTCCCCTAGCCATGGCAAGCATATGGGTCCCTTCTGCCATGCTCCTGCTGCAGAACCAAGGAAGCCCCTGAGGCAGAGCTGTTGAACAGGTGGTTATTTTACATCTCCTTCCCTTCCCCTCCCACCCACACCCCTTTCTCGTTCCATCCTCTTATGACTAAGTCTCTTCGGTGTCTAATGCCTGAAAGCTGCTGAAAGGCACGTGGTGGTTTGCGAGCTAGCGATGCTTCTGAATCAGCAAGGGATCATCTTTGCAAAGCTCTCTGGCTGCTGCCGCCCTTCCTGTACATGCAGCCTGTTGCACCCATTCACTTTGGGTGCTTGGCAGCAAGCCTGGGTTGGGTCACTCGTACACTGCCGATCTGGTTTGTGGGTGGAGAGAAGGGTTTTCTTGTTGTCATGGCTTATTGTGGGTGGGCTTCTTACACTCTCTCCCTTCACCCTGGGCTTAGGGTTGATGGAAATCCTCCCAGATAACTGTGTTCAGATCGGCAAGAAGGAGCTGCTGTACATGGGCCCTGTGGGCCTGATAATGTACCTGGGTGGTGTCGTCTTCATCAACAGGAAGAGTACGAGCAATGCCAAGACAGTGATGGCCCAGGTTGCCCAGACCATGTTGGATGAGAACGTGAGTACAGTATATGCCAATAGGCTTTGTGAGTGCTGGGCACTGCTTGCATTTGTTACCAAGTAGAGGGCTGCATGTGCTGGAATATTAGTCAGACACTGGATTAAGGATGCGGGAGGGTGGGATACTATGAGAAGTATTGTCTGACCTCTAGTACCTGGTGGCTAGTGTAAACTTCAAATGCCAGCCCTGGCTGTAGCTATATCCTGCAGCAAAATCTTCTGCGGGGGTTCCAAACAACTAGGAACAGAGGCATGCTATCTATGATCCGACAGAACCTCTCTAGAGAAGTTGTGGGTTAATTCTACAGCTAACTTTTGGTGTGCCAACAAATGGACTTCATGGTTTATCTCACTGTCTTACAGGTGAAAGTGTGGGTGTACCCGGAGGGCACGCGGAACGGGAATGGTGACTTGTTACCATTCAAGAAAGGAGCTTTTCATCTCGCTATACAGGCACAGGTAACGCTGGTCAGCTTCTTTCACAGCCAAAGCACTATACGGGCCTTCCAGTGAAAGGTCTACCTATGGTGACCAGATACTGGCAACACGGGGTTCTTTAGCGGTCCAAAATGGGGGCATAATAAAAGACACACCCTTTGAAGTGAACACTGTCTTCAGAGCACCCAAGATAGTAAGTTGCAGAGAGAAGCAGCTTTCTCACCAGGCTCCCAGAAGTATGGGAGCCTCCTTTGAAAATGGCACCTGAAACTTTTTCAGATAAATGGGTTGGTGGGGACTGCCCTCCTTGGTGCATGGGGAGGAGATGATGGCCAGCCAATACCATGGCGTAGCTAGCATTCTCCTCCAGGACAATCCCATGAAACGTGATCAAATTCTGGCTAACTTGGCTCCTTCTACTACTAGCTTGCATTATAGCTTCTAAAGTCCTAGTTCTAAGTCACACATCTAGCCTGCAATAACTTGGGTTAGAACCCGCCTTTGTCAATTAGATCCCTCCTTTAGCCAATTGAATCACTTCCTCGGTGCTGCCTGCTCTACAGTGCATGGTGACCCGGCAGGTGCTGTGGTGTCTGCGTTGTTTAGCACAGTGCAAGACGGGACTGATTGATTAGTGCCATATCTTGGAAGAAACCAAGATTTAAAATGTGCTTCGCTACATACAAATGCTGCATAACCGGGTTTAAGGACTTCTCCATGTTCCTGCAAGTACAAGAACTGGTGACTCGGCAGGTTCTGGAGAACAGCCCTATACTGGGAGGTCTGGGGGATCAGCTTGTCCAACATTGCTGAAGGCTGCAACGTTTCTTGAGTGATCCCACTGAAAGTGCAGAAGGTGCAGGTGCTGCCTCTTGGTGGCCCTCCCGCAGAGTACTCCTGTGGGGCAAGTCTTAAACTTGAAATGAAAGGCACCTTGGAGTAGCTATTAAATATGGCGAACTATGGTGGCTTTAAACCAGTGGCTCTCAACCCTTCCCGATGACTGTACTCCTTTCAGATGTCTGATTTGTCTTGCATACCCTCAAGTTTCACCTCACTTAAAAACCACTTGCTTAGTAAATCAGACATAAAAATACTTTCTCACTTTTTTACCATATAATTATAAAATCAATCAGAATATAAATATTGTACTTGCATTTCAGTGGGTAGTACACAGAGCAGTATAAACAAGTCATTGTCTGTATGAAAATTTAGTTTGTACTGACTTTGCTAGTGGTTTTTATGTAGCCTGTGGTAAAACTAGGCAAATCTCTAGCTGAGTTGAGGTACCCCTGGTTGAAAACCATGGCTTTAAACCCCTGCCTCTACCAGATCCATCAGACTTAATGGTGACTGAGCACAGGCTTCAGTGTACTAAACCTTAGGCTCTACATGCAGCAAAATGTATTTCCCCCTCAGCCCTAGATGAGCCAAACCATTGAAAAGCATCTGGAATGGGTTTGCAGATCTATAGATAGGACAAGCAGTTGCTTCTGGGAGCATTGTTCCTCTTGTATATTTAAATTTGTTTGTGCCAATGGCTACCTCCTTCCTGGGGATGAGTTACTGTGAGGACGAGAGCCCCTATTGCTAGGATCAGACCCTGCAAGCACTGGGGCAAGGAGAGCATTGGATGCCCCATCTTGCAAGCTTGTCAGTGTGGGGCTCCTATAAGATTGAATACAACCTCAGGGGTAAAGAAATGAATGCAAGTCCTTAACACTGGAGTCTTTGTTAGTGCTTGTTCCTTTAAAGCAGCTTCTGGACTCCATTTCTATGGAAATGGCTGCTCCTTCCTGTGCAGCCTGTGGCATTGTTTTATAGGGTCTTCAATGCCGTCTCTTTTTCTTAAAATGACAAGATCCTTGAGTGGCTAACAAGGGAGCACTCAGAACAGCTCCTTATCTTAATTGTTGTTGTTTTCTAGAATTGCTGAGTGGGTGGGGTAGAGTGACCAGATAGCAAGAGTAAAAAGATCAGGACAGGGGGTCAGGGGGGTAATAGGTGCCTATATAAGAAAAAGCCCCCAAAATTGGGACTGTCCCTATAAAATTGGGACATCTGGTCACCCTAGGATGGGGTCTGGCCTACCACTGTGGAGCAGATGCTGCAGCAAAGGTGGGTTTAGGGGAATTTTGAGGACCTGGGAGGATTCCATTCTGCTGAATGGGGACCAATTGCAGTAAGCTAAAGGTCTCTCAGTAGATTCCAGTGTCGACCTCGCCTCTAAGCCCTAAGGCCATGCCACAAGGATGTTGTCTCAAGCTGGCACCATACTGCAGTTCTGCTATTAACTGGGGCCCAGCAGTGTAGCTTATTCTGTAACTCTATCCAGTAGCCACTTGACTGTCTCTCAGCGATATCTGCCAATACATGTGGACCTAACCCTAACACCCGGCTGGCGCAAGCCAGAGGTGAACTTCCCAATCTGAATTTTTTGCCAGATACTCAGCTGCTTGGAAGAGATGCATGATTTAGCTTGAGCAACTGTGTTCCCTGCCCACCCTCCCCAAATCTGTTAACTCTTCCCCTAAAAAGGCTTAAATATTTTAGGTGACGATGCCACAGAGGATAATTTAGACCAGATTTTTGGCCTAAATTATCCTAATTTGGATAGCCATCAGTTACTGCCTCGCCAGACAGTGCGAACAGTATGACTTGCATCTTAATATTGGGGTTTCCTTTAGCACATAGACAGGCCATGGGGAAATCCTTGAACTTGCGTGACTTGCAGGCAGCCTTGCTTCCCTGTCTTAATCCAAGAAATGGCTCTTGGCAGGTATCCTGCAGAAGTTGGACCTGAACCTAAAGAGACAAGAGTTTGGCCTAGATTTAGACTGGGAGGACAAAATCTTGGACTGCGTTAGTTCTCCTCTTCTTGGTCGTGCTGGTTTCCCACATTGGTGCTTTGGTCTTGCACCAGCTCTCTTGTATCCAAAACAGGCCCCCAAACAACAAACCTCAACCTCTCCAAAGCTTTGGGAGCACGTAGGCATGCATATCCTGGTTTAGACACACCAAACCTCCACAGTGTGACACAGGCTCCATAGCCAGACATGCTGTACTCTCAGCTCAAGCAGGTTTTTTTCTTTGCATATGAAGATCTCAAGCTCAGATACTACAGTGGTAGGTTCCAGGGAGAAACCATAAGACTTCTGCGCTTTGGGCAAATGAACTTCAGTCTTGCTGGCTTAACCATTGTTGGCTTATGGAGGTGTCTCTGCAAGCCCTTCTTGGCTGCTGAACTGATCTGAACCTCCAAAACCAAAAATTGTTCCTGTCTCATTTGTGGAGGGCAGATTAACCACCAGTGAATGTTACTCTCTGCTGCACTAGAAACGAGGCATGTTTCAGAAGCTGTGCCACTTGTGGGCTGAAGGTTTGGTGCTCTCTGAGACGTGCAGGTGTCTGATTTCTCGCCACTCCCAAAGCAGAATCCTTCAGTGGCCCCAGCCATTTGCTGACCGACCATCTGATCTTAAATCTATGGGCTTTTTTTAAAGTTAAGTCCATGCTGGTGAAAGATGCAGCACCACAGCCCAGGGAAAGTATCCTTTTTGATCTCTAATGGGTGCGGTGCAGGCAGCAGCCATGCCAACCTAGAGCCGCTATCTCCCAGGAGAAACTTGTCTGCAGCCCTAGAAACCGAATACTTCCTGGGGCTTTATATGCTAGTTGCCACCCCTTCATTCTGAAATGGCTGCTGCTAAGCATCTGACAGCCCTGTATTTTGAATGCTTATGTATTCCTGTGTGTCATTGGGGTTTGGGAGGGAGCATATGATTCTAGTCAGCCATTCCTCAGGCCTTGTCAACCCTCCAAATGCTTTGCCAGGATAGCTAGGCTAACGCTACCCGCAGTGTAGACACAGTGAGGTGGCAGAAGGAGCTGTCTGCTGGTGTAGCTAAACCCCCTTCCTGAACAGCACTTCTGTGCTGACAGAAGTGCTCTTTTATTGACACAGCTGGGTCTACGCTGTACACTTTTGCCAGCATAGCTAAGTCGGCTGAGGGGGTGATACTTTTTTTCCTTTGCATGCTGCTAGCCAACATAGCCCAAAACTTTGTAGCGTAGACTATGCTCCAGTGCACATGGCATCCATCCCGCTCTCTGTTGTGCATCCTGGGGAAACAGCCACAACTTATACAGGCTGTGGTCTGGATAGTTTAATTTCCAACTCTGTGTAGTGGCTGGTTAGAGGAGTTTATTAAACTGTAACATGGTAGGTTCTACAGCTGAAGATCAACTCCTGTCTGTCATCTAAAGTAGTTATCTTTTGTGACCATTGTACTGTGACCATTTTTCTCTTCACCCAATTCTTTCTTTCTTTCTTTTTTTCTTTTTAAATACAATTTAAATGGTCTCCAGCACACTGGAAGCGGATATCGCTTGCAATGGTGCAGTGGCCTGCTGAGCAGATACATGGAGGATTCTAGTTTCCCAGGCCACTACTTTGGAACTTTACGAAGTTCACTTGAAGCGGAGTAGCTAGGCAGTTTTCTTCCAGATTTCTTCAGGCTAGGAAGTCCTACCAGACTCTGAAAACCAAACACTGTACTGCTTGCTATCTCAGGTCTATTCTGTGTTTGTGGAGGGCATGATGTTTGTATGTAAACAAGCTTCAATATACCAGGAGCAGAAGGGACCATAACTGACAGTGAAGCAGAAAATATTGAGATTGTAGCTCTTAATCTATTTCCTGTATATTTGTCTCCACCTCCTTGATCTCTAATGGGCAGATCAAACCCAGTGTGGAGCCTGTGACTTGATTTAAGCCAATTGCAGCTAAAGACCACAAATCAATGTACAAATTAACCACCCAGTAACAAGTCATTAAAGATGGATTTCTAGAGACTGGGCTAAGGACAACATCTGACAAGGTGGCTGGCTTCATTTACATTCTCAGTAAGTTGCCAATGATAGATTAAAAATAGCTGCCTTTTCTTCTCCATCTTTCTCTGTGAGAGGCATTGCCTTGCTCATAAATGATTGCAAACAGTGATTCCTGTTCCTAAATGTTTAACCAGCGCTAGCTGGCCTGCTCCCTCTTGTGTGCTCAGAGGCATTTGCGGTGCATGTTCGAGCTGCTTTTCAACCTAGGGAGTTGCAGGGTTAAACGTGGCTGAGGAGGATGGTGGCTTGAGGAGGTTTTGAATTGGGAGAGTAACTTTGTGGCTAAAGCACTGGCCTGAGACCTCAGGTCAATTCCCAGCACTGCTGCAAGCTCCCTGTGACCTTAGGAAAATCACTTGGGCTCCACAGAGGTGTGGCAGTGTCTAATTTTCATTGATTTCAATGGGAGTTAAGCTCCTAATACCATTCTGAAGATCCAGGCCTTAATCTTTTACTCCATTTTACATATGGGAATGGAGAGAGTAACTGACTCCTACCCTCTGTTGGCTTTGGGGACTGTAGGCTCATCAGAGTTACGACTCTGCTCTGTATTTGTAGACAACCTAGCACAATGGGGGCTCAGTGTTGGTGGGTGCCAGGCTATTGTAATACAAAAAACCTCTAACTTTCTGGTACTTTTTTCCTCCCCTTTCAAGGTTCCAGTTATTCCTGTGGTGTATTCCTCGTTCTCTTCATTTTACAATCCAGCCAAGAAGCTATTTACATCAGGTACTGTACTGCTTTGAACCCCTCTTATTTATGGGTGGACTCTGTATTTCTGGTCTCCCAGCAGAAGAAAAGCTGGGCTCAAGGCAGAGTTGTTGAGACACCTTTATTTGGGCATTCCTGTCACAGTGGCTGTCCTCTTACTAAGTTCTGTTTGTTCAGTTTCTTGGAGTCTTCCAGAGCCGGATTGTCCAAGGCACTCAGTACCTATGATCAGGGCTAGATGGTTTGTGGTGGGTTGTTTGTTTGTTTTTGTTTGTTTGTTTGTTTTTTCCCAGCAGAGCTGGTCTCAGATAGTGCTCAGTCAATTGAGCTCTCTTGACCATCTGGCCCTTAGGTGCCCAAGTAGGAGCTCAGCTCTTCTGAAAAGCAGCCTCCAAATCTCCTTCACTTAAACTGTTGCACTCTGACCCCAGTGGTGAGAGTAGCATATGGGCAAGAGGGGGCAATGCTTGGTGCTGGGCCAGGATTGTTTCTATGTGCTGTGTTGGGCCAGCTGCTCTAAGATGCAAAGCAGGGTGCATTTAGGCACCTCTGGGGACCAGGGATCAAATTCTTGCATCTTACAAGCGTCTTAAGCAGCTGCTAACCTTCCAAAGCCCCCCAGATTACTTGACTCAACAGGCAGTCTCCCCTGGGAAGGGTGGGGAGGCTCAGGGATAGAATGTCAGGGGATGCTGTCGGTGGGTCACAGTTTGCTCTGGCAGCATATTGTATGCCCGGTTCCTTTCAGCTCCTTGCTTCAATGAGCAAATCCAGTAAGGAGTCAGTGACAGCAGCAACTAGAAGCTTTTTAGGATAATCCTTGGGGAGAAAATCATCTGCTTCTGTCTCCTTGCTCTTTTCGCTCACCACCAGGCCACTCCTGTCCCAGTGTCCCTCATCTGGCATCTCAATTCTTCTCCCATTGTCTGCGGGTTTAGTAATCTCGCTGCTGGGCTTGTCCTCCAGAGGTGATGAGCCTTGGGCTAGGGGGCTGTAAAATGGAGAGGACACTGACCTCCTTTTGAAAAAGCACTTTGAGATCTTTGGATGGAAAGTGCTATGTAAGAGCTAGGCTGTGGTCTTATTACCTAAAGAGGCAGCTCTGGACCTGTGGTAGAAATATCTCTACAGAAATTGGGGCGTAGGGAGAGGGGTAAGCACCCTGCTGCACTAGAGAATTGGCTGAGGCGTGGTCCAGTTAACTCTCATCTGGCCCATACTTGCAATAGATGATGGACAAAAAGAGAATGTGTGAACAAAGCATCTGACACTGTTGTGTTGTGCACAGTTGGCAATGTCCTAGGCTGTCGTAATCAGCAGATGCTTCCTGTGCTCCGGCCTGCTTCCCCAGCACGTGCAGGCTAGGTCACTGGGTCGGCTTTTTGGCTGACCTGTTATCTCAAGAATATCAAATGCACCTGGTCCTGTAAGAGACAGCACCTGAAGGGCTCCTGCTGCCTCCTAAACACTCTTGCAAGGTGAGGCTGGAGTTTCTTTAACTGATCACTCAGGAGCTTTTGGCGTCAAAGGAATGAATTGTAATTCTCTCCCCAAGGACTTCCTAAGTGTTGTCCTAGCTGGGTTCGGCAGCACCTGCTCTGCCTGACGGCTCTACCCAGCCCTTGTGACAGTAAAGGGCACCCTGAGAACTGAGTAACTAAGAACTTCTTTCAGAAGTAGCTATTGTTACTTTTCTTGAGTGGGTACTTAGCAGTCCTGTTGAGTCCCGTAAATGCCATTGCATGCCACAGTGGTTCCTGCTGCTTCAGAAGAGAATCTGGGGGGTATGTGGCTTGCTCTAGCAGGCTTGTTGCAACAGCAGGGTCTGTTGGTTTAATTATCCAAAAAAATCTTGCTCTGCACAGCAAAAACCACCACCAGAGAACTGTACTGCTGGGCAGCCATGGGGAGGGTTGCTGGCACTTCTTACAGTCTGGGGAAATCCAAACAGGATTGCATGGGTTCCAAATGAATGTGTGCCCCCATGGGTGGGAGGGTTAAGGGGGAAATATCACCTAGCCAAATCAAAAATGTGAGCCAAGTGGCCTGGCCTCAAGTGAAGCGCACCTTGGCTTGATTGTGGCTTTCAATGACCGGGACCTGAGCAGATTAGATAAGGCCAGAGGGTGTGTAGCTCAATTGAGGAGCAGAAGTAGTTTACTTGCAGAAGCAAAGCTTTAAAGATCGAGTGGAAGTTTCTTGTTTCAGACCATGCTCTTACTGTGTATGTATTAACTTACCCCTATGATCCCACCAAATACCTCCAAGGATCTAAAGGTTCCCAGAGAGTAAGATCTTGTTCCAGGTGGTTCAATTCACTCCCTAGGGTGAGGCCTAAGACACACTTGGGTATTGAATGTAGAAATGCAAAACCCTGGGTGTCACAGGCCTTGTATGTTGCGTAACGTTGCTGCTCATGACACGACACAGGTCCAAGAAAATCTGCTCTGTTGAATGCTAATAGCCACTTGCTTGTGTATGTAAGTGGGTTATGCTGTCAGAATCCTGTCTAGAGAATCTTTGTTAGTAACAGCTACAAAAATTACCCTGCTTTCTAAAAAGTCACACCGGTGACCTTTTGCAATGGACTCTAATTGGAGGCTCTTACGGTCTCTGCCACTAGCCTGGTGGGGACAGGGAAAGGAGTTGCAAGTTCTGCCGGGTTCGTCTGTTTGCAGCATTTCCTGCAATAGGAAGCCATGAACGCTTGGAGTCTGAGTTCCTGCTGCCAGGAACTTGTACACAGCCTTGTGACACAGATGAAAATGAACTATCCCCACTAATGGCTGTTCCCACTGATGTAATGGTGCACTTAAACTGTATCGTGGTAACTAGCACGTGCGAGCTTTGCTATGCTGTCTGCTGTGGCCATGTCTGCTGGGCTACCGGGAGTTGTGAAGTTGGGGATTATGACTGGTAGCTTAGTCATAGGGAGGGTGGAGAATGGCCATCTAATGGCCAAATGCAGAACTTAAGTTCCTTCTCCTGTTCCTAGGTAAAATCCGGGTTGAAGTGCTCCAGCCAATTGAGACCAAGGGCCTGAAGGCTGAGGATGTCACGGACCTCACGGAGAGATGCTACTGCACCATGAGGGAGACCTTTTTCAGACTGTCTGGCATGGCAAATGAGGCGAACGGCTCAGGGCACGGCCCTCAACAATAGTATTCCCAAATAGCAGGGACTGAAAGGACTTGTTTCAATTGCCAAAATATCCAAGGGGTTTCTCCCCGTCGTTTGCAGCAGGTTTGGACAAATCCTAAGCCTCTGCTTAGGGTAACCTTAGTTGACAAACACCATTTGTTGGGCCAGTTCTACTGTTCGGTGAATCTCTTTGTGGGTTCGTTATCTCCCATGGGGAAGTGTCTCCTGCACTCAGTTTCTCAAACACCCTACAAGTGCTAGTGAAGCGCTCCTGTCCTGATGCCCAGTGCAGTGACCATTCTGAACTCTTCTGCAAGCTCAGGCCACGCAGCTTGGACAGTAGGTGTTGCAGAACACCACGTTAAGGTCCTGGCATTGACGCTGTAAGCCTGACGCTTGCCAGAGCCAATCCACTGGATGCCAAAGACCGTGTTAGGTACATCTTTGCAGCCTCCAAAGGATTAAAACTTGCTTTCATCCTGTCCCTAGCTGTTGGTGCTTGAGGAGATGAGGGTGGGAGCAGTTATTCAGACAGCGCTCTTCATGCGGCTGCACTCCACTAGTACATTCCCAGTGCTTATGGGCAGAGACTGATGCCCTAGTGATAAGTCTTGCTCACAGCTGAAATTCAACTTCTAAGGTCTCAGTTTCATTCTTTCTCGCCTCCGACACAATTTTGGTTTTTGCTGAATCAACCGGTTGGGTTGTTGTTTAAAGACCCACTAAGCATCTGTGATTCTGCTCAGACAAAGATGGGAGACCAACCGCTCACCGCTTCCTGATGGAATGGCCAAGTCCTAGGACGTAGCAGGGAACTGAAATGTCCAGGATTCTCTTACCAGAAGTCCTGGGGCAAGCTTTAGACAGATGTCAGTCCCTTATTTGCTCTCCAGACAGAGTGAATTCCCCACCAGTACTTCTAGCAATCTTGCAGCCTAAGGCTTTCTTTAGGTGGGCCTCTACACATGCTTCCTTTGGGCGCTGCTGGGCTAGGACAGATGTGCCTTATGGGGCCAGCTACTCTTGATGCTGTCCCTTAATGAAGTCAAGTTTCCATGTCCACTGAGTGGACAAGCTCCATGTGGACTTATTTAGGGGTGGGGCAGGAGGGGGAAATGTGGAGACCTAAAAAACCCAACCCAACCAAACCTGCTGTATAGTGTCTTAGTAGGTTTTATCCAAACACTTAGCCTGATGGCTGCCGTAAAGCAAACCTCTATGGGGATGCTATCTCTAAACAAAATCCCTGGGGTTTGTAAGTGATGCATGAACATGCCAAGAACTAAACTAAAAGATGAGAGAAACCCACAAAGAGACAGGGACTCATCTCTGCTCATCCCCATTGTTTTGCATTACAGCCAGCATCCCTGACTTAATATTTAGTCTTTTACTCCACCTGATGGCTTGCTTTTAGCATAGTGCCAGGTATGATGGGCTGAGGGAAGGGTAGATCTGGCACTTCCTTGGTATTTGTTGCAACACTTTCAGTGCTCAAATGTGTTTTTTTTTTTTTTGGTTTTTTTTTTAAATTGTTTTTAATCTAGGTTTTGTACCTAGATTCTTTGTTGCTGCTCTTTCTTCCTAAGGGCTATCCTCTGCTGTTCGACACATTGCATGTCTGAAGCATTGACCAAAAGACAGTGCCTGCCATACAAACATGTCTTGGAACATTCGCCTTACTAGGACTGTTCGTGTCAGTTGCAAAAGCCATGGTGTTGGAGATGTAAAATATGCTGGATGGGAGAGGGGTATGATGGCCCTGAACCAGTGTTTCCTTTGGTCTGAATTTACCAGCTGGGAAACAGTAGCTGGAGGGATTCCCGGAAACTGAGTTTCAGACTCTCCTCACCCAGCAGTAGAAATGTAGAGCCCCTCTCAAAGGGAGTAACAGCAGAGATGATGCTCTCTGGGGGAGCAGGCCTTAGCCATGAAAACTCCCAGGGATTTGATGAGAGGCCTTGTCAGCTTGAGGCAACATTCCCACAAAGGCAGTGCATCTCCTCTTGTAAAGTAATCTTGTGCAATGTATCGTCCCCAAGCCTCCTGCTCAGTGGGTGGCAGTAGAGATGATGCTGTCTCAATCACTGAATTCCTGTTTTTTCTTCCTATAAAGGACACCAAATCTAATGCTTAAAAAGCACTAATGCAGAACTGGGAGAAACCAAATAGAGGATGCTGGGGGTAGGTAGCTCCACAGGGCTCAAAGCTGTAGCTAGAGCTGTGTTTACAAATGAATATTGGAGCATCAATCTGGTACAATCCAGATTTCAGAACTGAAAAGCAGGAGGGTTTTCTTCTTTTACTGGTTCTGTACTGAAATCAAAGCAGCACTTTTCCCCTTCCATAAGAACGGCAGACGACATGGCTATGTAGTTGAAGCAAACATCCAAGTTCTTGTGGAGATTTCATACCCTCCTGCCCAGCGGCTCCGGTCTGGAGTGAGCAGTTGGGATGGTAAGGTCGTAACGGGTGGATATTTTTCTTTGGCCAATGATGACTCTGTATCAGATGTATAAATCTAAGTCTGTCTGTTTATGACGGAGGTGGGAAAAGAGCTTGAGCGTGTTCCATTCTTTTAGTTGTTTAAATGTATGTTTGATCAATGTACATTCTTATAAAGCAGTTATTTAAATAGAAAGTCTTGTGTGGGGTTTATTCGAACCCAGGTTGGGTTGAACTTATTGCCTGGAGGAGCTTTTCCTGGAGGTGGAGGAGTGTACCCAATATTGTCAGTTTCCCCTTTGGTATCTGAGAATCTGTTGCTACCCACACTTTTGCCCCCTGTGAGTGTGGTGAGGTAGTGGGTGAAGAGAGCTGTGTCTGGACCAAATCTGTAGGAGGTTCTGCCACTTCCACTCTCAAATGCATCGCTGTTAGTTTGGGCACAATACATGTCAAAGATTGCATGGCCGTAGGGATCACTACAGAGATCCTGCCCTCATTACCAATTTTGTAGAAAATCTTTAGTGTTCTCGCAACCAAGCACTGAACAGCTTGGGTGAGGTTGGCCAAGTGAGCTTCCTGCTGCTAATGAGCTGGACTGAATGACTCCTGCATAAGGAGTGCTTTTGTCCAAGCTTTGCAGGGAGGACTTGTTTAGACAGGGTAATGTGTGGAGCCCTACAGATCCAAATTTTGGATTTGCATCCACTCTGCCATCCACAACTGCAGAGATCTGTGGATATAAATCCAGTATCTGCAGACGAGTGGGGCTCTGTATGTGCTATATAGTAACATGCTGTATGGACATAGCTACAGAGCACTGGGTGCCTGAGTATTGCCTGGCATACAATCCTTTTCACCCAAGTGTGGCTGAGGCTCTGGGAACACAGCCTGGGCTCCCTTCCTCTTAACCCAAAGGTAAGTACCCTCTCCTCCCCATAAAAGCACCAGAAGGACAGATGAGCTGGTCTTGAGTAGCTTCCTTACCAGCCCTTCCCTTCTGCTCCCCTATTTCCCAGCAGCAAGCCCTCCACTAGGCTCAAGCAGAGCTGGTGACCACACTAAAGGGTTCCAGTAACTTCAGGCCTTCTAGGAGCCATGCTCCTATGTATGTGTGGAGGGGCTGGACATGTTCCCGAGGCAGCTGTTTGTACCCTCCACTTCCTGCTGGATCCCATTGCCCCCTTCAGGCAGTGAAGAAGAGAGATGCTACTGCAACCCTTCCCCATGGTTACCATGATGATGTTCCCCCTTCCAGAGGCAGGAGCTGGGGAGAGATGCAGACCTCTCTACCTGCAGCTTCCTACCTGGGTGTGTGCATTTAAATCAAGTTGCACCTTGGCTCCAAGTGAAAGGAAGCTGCTACCCTCCTCAGCCTGACTCTGCTTCAGCAGTAACTGTGCCCTTAAGCTTCCATGAGTGAAATCATGACCTAGGGTAGAATAACTGGATTCCACTGGGCCTCCTTCATGGCTCAGCATCTTGACCCACCAATGACAAGCCCATGCTCAAGAGCTGTACAGGCCATAACTTTAATACAAAAACTGCACCACCCTACACAGTGCTCGGCTAATAGACCTCAAGTCTCCAGCTGTTTATAAGTAGAAAAGCATTGTACCATAGAAGACTCATTAGTTTTCTAGAAACATTAGGACCCTTCCTCCAGCAGCCTTAAGATAACCATGTGAAGAGGCATGAGCACGGCAGGCTTTGCCCGCAGCAACCTGGCAATGTGCATCTGTTCCTACTTTAAATACAACTATTCTACCACTCCTAGTTCCAGTCTGAGCCAAGGCTGGTTTAGCTAGCAAAACTGGCTGGTTATCTTGACACATAGGCAAGCAAGTGTGCCAGGCTTCAGTGTGTAAATGATGCCAATTTTTAAGAAGCAAAGGGATTATCCCTCTCCTCTTGCCACACCCTCTAGCATTTCAAAGGGAGAATATATACTAGTTCTCTCAGGGGCAAGGTTTTAGTGACCAGATTTGACTTGGTCCATTTTGAATCTGTGTGAATTTCAGGTATGTGTAAAAAGGAGGTGGTGGAAAAGCCAAGGAGCAGAATCCAGCCCTCCTGTATCTCTATCTGCTGCTCTAACAGTGAAGCAATGTGTGGTTTGGCAAAACTTTCCCCCTGGGTACTAGCAATAGCAAGGTCTGGCTATATAGGCTCTTAACAACGTAGACTTCTAAGCTAAACAAGCTGCGGCTTGCACAGATCATCTCATGCTGCGGTACCACACAATTAATTGTTGGCCCAGGATTTCACCTCACTCTCCGTCACAAACAAATTAAGCACCAAATGGTTTTGCTTTTAGCAAGTCTTGTGTGGCACTGGCTGATGCTGTGCCAGCTGGCCAAGCGCTTGGAAGAAAGTGTTATAACCCTGAGCATCTCATACAACTTTGCCATAGGGGCAAAAAATAAATCCAATTTAAAATCAGTCTCTAAGCACCTCAATTCTTAGAAAAACACACTAGGGCCCTTCGTATCAAAATAAGCTCTTTATGCCTCCATCCCACATCGTCCTGAAGGCGTCGTGGCCTCTTTCGCCAGGCTGGGTCAAGAGGTGCTGAGACAGGAAATCCAGGGTTACAAATTCACTCTGCTCCCATAATGAAGTACTGCTTCTCTTGTTATTAGCGTTCGTTCTTACATGAACCTGAAACCAGACAATTCCAGAGCTAGCGTTAGTCTAGGGGCCGGTGATGGGGCTGGGGCCTGGTCTACACACTGATTTTGTTTTAGTATAACTTCCTGGGTGTGACTGGACTTTGTTTTAAATTGGGTGTAAAGCTTCACAAGCTCAGCCAATCTGAGGGTGTTTGTTTGTAACGGGGGTAACTTTTGACCAGCACAGCTGATCAAGTCCCAGATTTCAGGGAAGGTCCTAGGCATTTATGGGTAGAACCCTTACACAGTCAGTCTGGGAATGAATTTAAACCCAACCGTCTAGTAACATCAAATGCTAAACTATTAAACCATAGCAAAATAACGCTTCCAAACCACACAATGTTAGTTGAAGCTAGAGGATTTTAAGGGCCTTGTTATTTGGTCTTTTATCCACAAAGCATTTCACCATTTAACACATCTATTCCACTCCCTAGGGGGCTCAGATTTTTCAGGACACAGTACAGTTAGGGGATCCAAAAGTCACTCTTATCTCAGTGCTGTAGGGTCACTAAGCTACAACAGGCCTCATTCTAAACCAAGAACAGCTGCATTTTTCTATTTGTGGCTGCTGATTGCTGCCCATGCAGCCAGCCAAGTACCCTGTACATAGAACAGTGGGGAAGAAAAGCTGTGCCTGCGAATGAAGCCTGCGGACACCACTTCTTAAAAACCTGGAGTCCTGCTGAGGATGGAAGGAAGGGAATTCCAGCTACCTTCCTAAGCCCTGTTCAGGGGCAGGTTCTGCACCATCAATACGCTTTAATTGAGTGTGATGGGTCTTAGTTTCCATCTTAATTTTTCAACATTCTTGTTTTCAAAGGGCAAAAACATCCAGCTGGCAGGATGTGACCTGGCACAAATTAGTGACCAGGTGTGAACTGTAGGCAACATCACAAGGTCGTGTGTCAATATTCCAGTTTACAGCACCACATTCCAGGGTTGTGCTGGTGATAAGAATGTGTACTTAAAAGACTGAGTGAGCCTATTTCAAAAAATGTCACTACAGAGCAGTAACTCTGGGGTAGTTGACATTTTCCCACAAACCTATAAGGAGGTAACTTTTGACCAGCACAGCTGATCAAGTCCCAGATTTCAGGGAAGGTCCTAGGTGGTTGGTTGGTGTTTTTTTTAAAGCAAATAACAGAAAAAGTTTTGCCCCTTTATAATAGGAACCAGCTGGAAATTGACTTTGTCTTGTAGGGCCTGTGTTTTTACACACACACAAGCAACTCTATGGGAATTAGGTATATTGTAGGACTTCCTCCACCATTTAGAGGCAGAGTAACTAATCAGGAATTAAGCTGTATTGTTGCTGAGCACCAATTCCTGAGTGGACAAATGATTGGGTTTCTCTGCAAGTTTGATCAAAAGCATTTAATGGAAAACAAGGCTTTCAAATGCAAAAGTTGTAAACGGCTGGCAAATTACATACTAAAACAAAACACACTAGAATTGTAATGGGGAATAAAACATTATACTATCCCAAGTAGCAGTGCTCAACTGTGGGCTCTGTACACTGAAATTAATGCAGCTGTGTGAAAACCCAAACCTATACAAGGCTGCATGGTGAAATAAGTATCAACATAAAGCTTGCTGTTAATTTCCATGACCCACATACTAGCTGGATAACTACAGCTGACATGAACATGGTGGTGGGAAATTAAGCCCCATGCCTGGTCATTATTCAGCTCGTTCTACTTTTTCAGAAGCGAAGGTTTTCATCAAATGCTTTTGTTCAAAGTTGTGTAGAACTTGCCTGTTCTAAACAGCACTGATTTGCTGCACTCCAGAAAAAAAATTTGTAGAATTTTAGGAGCAACTTCCCCCAGTGTTCCCTGTACTCATGATCTGAACTAGTTCTGTACTCACCAAACTTACTTGGACTGTTAACTTTTGTATTGTGTTTCACTAAGGAGTGAGTTCTGACACTGCACCCACAAACCCTAGAATCTGAGGCAGTTTCTGATGTAGATGCTTATGGCCCCTGAACAGCAGTGGCATGAAAACGAGCTGAGATAATATGTATCCTTGCCACCATGCAAAAACATGTGATCTCCATGCAGCTGTTTATCATCTTTGGATGCTGCACTAATGGATCGGGTTCAGCACCCGCACAAACAGCTTTGAAATGAAACTGTGCCTGTTTGTAACCATCTTTTATTAATTACAAGCTGATGGGTTTGGAGTTGGCATGGAAGTAGATTAACTGTGGCATAGACATAACCGCTCCAGTTGGTCTGCACATGCGGGCTATGCCTGCCATTCTACTTCTTAGATCTGCTTTACAAGAGGGAAGCAGTCTGGCATTTGTACTTTAAATGGCCCATTTTTTGGTGCATTCCTAAGGGGTAAATCAGAGCATGTCACTGCTCCCCTCAAGTTAGTGATGTGGCTTTTTGAAGTGAGCTTGTCTAGATAATGAACTGGAGCGATATTCCCAGAGTGTTCTAGCAAAACGCAGGTGGTGATTACTCTTTAAAAACAAGGGCTTCTCATAGGCTGAGGAGGTGAAGCGCTGCCCAGCAATTAGAACTCAGCAGCAGGACCCTGTCTGCCTTACAGTGTCACTGTAATAGGTGCAGGGGGAGAAGAGAACTCCCCGGTACAATCTCTAGCAATAACCAGAACCAAGGGCCTTCTCCTTGCTGAGCACTGCCAAACTACTTACACGTCTCCAGTCGCTCCTCCAGGAAAGAGATCTGCTCACTCAGGGACTCAATTCTATCCAGCTGCCGCAGGGCGTAGAACAGCTGGCTGATGGGGTCGGTGCTGACATCATCCGCTGCTGATGGCATGAGGTTATGGAATGGAGCCAAGAGTAACTGGAGTTTCTTTTGAGAGCGAGAAAAAGAGAGGAGCTGTTAGTTTTCATCCCTCTCTGTTACACTATCAGACCCACCCAGCGTGACCTGCCAACAGCTGATACGGCCAGCGCGGCCATCTCCAGGGCTGGCAGAGCCGAGGGTTGGGGTAGTTGACTAGTGCTAAGAGGGCTCCTGGCGGGGAGAGTTGTTACAGTGGTCGCTGCAAGCGGTGGGCGACGCAGCTGGGAATGCTAATACCAGAAGACAAGACTAGATTAGGTGGCGAAATTAAAAATAGAGCCGTTGAAGGGCAAAAATTCTGGATGTGAACAGCTGTGCAATGACGCGCTGGAGACAAATCTTCTGACTGTGAATTACAAGTGCATCAAAAAAAGGCTGAAGTACGAGCACCTGCGTCTCTGTCTGCGCTCGCTGACGGGAGCTCACCTGCTCCAGCACTTCCACCCGGCTCCTGAGGGCTTGCATTTCTTCCTTCATTTCACTGGAGGCGCCTGCCATGAGCAAAACACCACAGGAATTAATAAAATCCCTCAGAGTGAACTGTCCTCCTCAAAATCGGGCCGTGATGGTGGAGCAAGGACGGCCACCTCTGAGGCACAAAAAACCCAGGAGCCCCTAAATGGGCAGAGTTGGCTGTGTGGACTGAGCCCCCTGACGGATTTCCCAGCCATCCTGGGAAAACCTGGACAGGTGCCACTGGCAACCCTAGGCGGAGCAGCAGCCGAAGGGTTAACCCGGAGGTCTGCCGGACTGAGGGAATGAGCTGGCTGTGCTCTGCCACCCCAAATGCCACCCTCTGACATGCTTGTTGAGACCAGGATGCTCCCTTCGCTGTTCATTGACCAGCTGCAGGAATGAAAACAAGCGACAGTTCCGGCTTCCCCCCTATCAATCTACGTACAAGCTAGACATCCCCGCCGAGAGTTTACCAGCAGCTAATCCAGGAACTTTGGCAAGCGGTTTGTGCAGTAATGACCAGCCAGGACACCAGTGTCTGATTGAAAACACACAACTGCCCTCAGTTGAGCCCCCGAGGAGGGCTGGTTCTTACTGAAGAACGTGGTTCTTTGCACTGTAGCAAATCACAAGGCATTGAAACACAGAAAGCTGTCCAAGCCCCAGCCTCTGACCCTAATCCTGATGGGCACATTACCCCACAAACTACAACCAGCCTTGGTTCTTCAGGCTGAGATCAGTTCACCTTTTTCCCCCTCACAGGGTAGCAAAGCATGGGTCCAAAATGTGTGTGTGATTCAGGGAGGGGGTGGGATTACCTTTGTTCTGAACAGGAAAGAGATGAATGTTTAGAATTATTGCCTGGCTGTAACTAATTGGGTGGAAACACAGGAGGTTACTCCAGGGCCAAAGGATATTAATTAAGAGAAGGCCGTCAGCCTCTGACACTTTTCCTTAGAGAGGCTCAGGTGCCAACGATATTTAGAAAGTGATTCATTTTCATTCCTTGGCTTTGGCAGGTTTTCAAAAGGCAGTTTGGGGTCTGGGATCCACAGGGCCCTAAAGCTGCACTCCTCTGGCAAAGCAGGAAGGGTCTGACACCCGGCCCACAACAGTGGGCTGCAGCAAGGTACAATTAGCAATGGGATGCCCCATTGCCCCGTGCTAGCAATTGTCCTTGTGCATACGTGATTGAGCAGGGCCTTGCTTTCACTTAATGAGCTCGCTGGCGCCTGCTCCCCGTCCGCAAAGCCCAAACAAATAGCCACTGATGGTCTGCTGAACGGCGCAGGTGTTGCTAGGCTGGGCTGTGGTGTATGCATGGTCTGTCCTACCCTTCCATGGGCTTGGATGACAGCAACACGGGTTGGATCCACAGCAGAGGCGAGCCAGCCCAGCTTCATTGACTTCAGTGGGGCTGTATCTACCCAGTGTGAAGAGTAAAAGGGCACCTGCACCCTTCCTCGAGCACTGTCCGCCACGCTGCTGCTGTCCTCAGGGCTGGGCAGCTGGGGTAGCAAAGAATTTGCTCAAGAGGGTGGGACTCTATCCCGTTCAGCCCTCTGCCTCCTGCATAGGACTAGCGATAAAGCTGGAGCCGTGGGTGGAACTGTGCCCCTTGTACCACGACAGAATTATTGACAAAGAAGGCTACGATTCAGTCGCGGAGGTCACGGCAGTCACAGATTCCATGACTTTACCGGACCTCCATGACCTCTTTGGCTTCAGCGCCCCTGCCCTGCAGCTGGAACCCGGACCGTGCGCTCCCCTGCCCCGTAGCTGGGGCTGGAACCGGGGCTGTGTGCCCCTGCCCTGGGGCTTCCTCCGGGGGCTGCGGTTGGGGCCATGTGCCCCATCCTCCAGCTTCCACTGGGGGGCCGGGGCCATGCGCCCCCCTCTTGGCTTCCCAGGGCTGTTGCGCCCCTTCCCCCCTGTGGCTGAGGCTGTGCGCCTGCAGCTGGATCTGGGACTGTGTGCCCCTGCCCCCCAGCTCCAGAGCCGGGGCTGTGCGCCCCATCCCCTGTGCCTACTCCCCACCCCATGGTTGCAGCCGCTGGATCCAGGGCTGTGCGCCCACCTTCCCCCAGGGTTCAGATGGTCCGTCCCTCCGGGACTCCAGCTCTCATTCCTCCCCACCACCCAGCCCGAACGTCACAGACAGCTCACAGGGTCCCGTGTATTTTTGTTTGCTGCCCGTGACCCGTGTGTCACGTTTACCAATAACCGTGACCAAACCTGAGCCGTACTGCTAAACGTGCTGCAGTGATGCAGGAGGAGACGGCCACGATTGCCCCAAAGGCGGAAAGGTGCCCTGCCCCGGTAGCTCTGGAGAGGAGAAAGCCGAGAGGGCAGGCCCCGGGGGATCACGTCCACGGCCACACGGGCCGGCGCAGCCCTTCCGCCCCGCGCTGCTCCCGTCTGTCGCCAGTGCTGGCCGCAGCGCATTATTACTCACGGTACGAGTTTGAAGTGTCACAGCGCGTACCAAAAGTAATAATGGGCCGGCACCAGCGTCGCCGCCACTCCTGTCCTCGTGGCGCTGGAGTCACGCGCAGAGAAGAGGTGACGGTGCGCTGACCCCATTGTCTCCACGCTGATCATGGCGTCTCAGGGGCTTTGGAAGCCAGCTACTGGCCAGGCCGAAGTCCCACCAGCGAGGGGGCGGTCTCGCCCAGTAATCGGTTAAACCTCACCGCGAGCCATTAGCCCCATTTTACGGCCGAGGCACGGAGTGGGCCAGCGACTGGCCCAGGTCACAGGTCAGCATCGAACCCAGGAAGCCTGGCTTCCAGACCCCTGCTCTAGCTCCTAGAGTCCCCCGCTGCCTCACACCCTTTGGTTAAGGCTATGCAATTAACATCCAGCCAAGCAGTAAAATGCCCAGGGACTCGCTCCAGCCCATGCAGGGGTGGCTGTTACCTGATCGATTGAGGGCGGGGAAGGCAGAGGCCTCTGTCTCAGTGGGCGGTGCCGAAGCATGGCATGATTTCCCATCGGCGGAGAGCCTGTGCCCAGCCCGACAGGCACAACCATAGCTCCCACGCGTGTTGACACAATGCTGGCTGCAGCCGTGGTGCGGGCCAGCGCATTCATCCACATCTGAAAGTACAGAGGTTAAATTCACAGGGGCTCGGGTGAGCGTGGGCCATCAGGAAGCAGCCCTTGTGAAGACAGGGTGAGCACAGAGCGCGGCAGATTGACACCACCAAACAAGACATGGGCCCCTCACAAAGAGCGTACAGGGGACAGCTAAGACTAGAGAGCAGTCAGCCATCCCTTGTGAGACGGCTTAATCCAGGCTACAAGTTGGGGAGACCTGTGCGGTGACAGCAGGCTGGATTAGTTAGAGAGCACCTCCCAGGGTCTGTCCATACCCAGGCTGCCCCAGTAAAGAATCTCTTTTGCTATCAATGCAGCCAGCTTGGGTCTCTCTTCTAGCAGGAGCTAAATTTCATGGCCCTAATTCGCCACTGTGTTACTCCCATTTTTACGCCACTGATGCTGCACCAGGTAAAATGGGAGTAGCCCCGTGACGCATCAGGCCCAGTACGTCTAAAAAGGGCAAAAACAAAGCCCCTGATCTGAACGCTCCCTAATTCTGGAGCTGGATCCCACTTCCCCCGGATCGGGTGAGCACTGTTCACCGCTGGCTCTGGCCACGCACCAGCCCATCCCTGGTGAGGTGCTATTAGCCTTTCACGTGCATGTGTGTGAAGCCCAACAGCCTTGCCTCACACGGGGGCAGTTATTAAAGCCGTGCCCACAAAGTGAAATGAACATGACAGCTCCCCCCACGTGCCTGAGCAAGTCTGTTCTAGGCACCAGGAAAATCTCTTGAGCTGGGCTCCAAGCTGTCACTACAGCCTGCCAGTGAGTCGTGCCTACTCCACACACATGCTTTGGACTTACAAATGCGCCAGATCCTCAGCTGGGGGACGTTCGTGCCGCTTCACCGGCTTCAAGAGAGCTGATTTACACCTGTCAGGCCTCTGCCTCCAACCATGAACTGGACTTATTGGGCCTCTGATTTAGCCTGGGATGGGTTTTTACACCATTTGAATCCACATTTACTCCTGCGTTACACTGTGGTAAGCGAGAGGAGACCCAGCTCCACCGCCTGCACCACAAATAGATTTTATTGAGCTGCGCTGTACCGAGAACGGCGGCAACACCTTGCAGGCCTCCGGAGGTGTAACTCAGCAGCGCTCCCTTGCCGTCCCCGGAGCCAGGCCGATTCGCAGCAATTGTGGGACTAGCTCACGATTCTGGTGGGTCTCTGCTAAGGCTGAGCGACTCCCACCCACATGGGACATGGCCTGGCACACAGCTTGCCCGAGCGGTGCCTATGGAAAGGCTGCGACAGGACTGAATTCCTGGGCTGGGGCTGGGCAGGCCTGTGCCTGCTCCAGGTGTGTACCATGAAGCCCCCCCAAAATGAGGCTTCTCGAATAAAGTGAGCAGGAAAGGCCATTTAGGGAGAGATTCTCAAGTGGTGTAAAGCAGCCGAGCGCCCCCCCCCCCCATCACGGGCGCGTCACCCATTTACCCCAGCTGAGGCTCTGGCCTGTTTGCTTTTCAATGGCATCCAGCCGCAGCACTCACAGAAGGGGGAGGGAATGGAGGGAAGGCCTCCAGCGCATCTCCCACAGCTAGCACCCCCCCACACACCCCCAATCCACCAAGCAACCCGAATGCCTTACCCCAATCTGCCAGCTACAAGCTAGCTTCTGCCTCCCTCTGCTGGGTCAACAGTGTTACGCCATCCAAGCCCTCCCTGCTGGTCTGTGGGAGCTGTGGGCACGAAACAGCGCTTCCCTCCCCACGCTGCCCCCAGACCTTTGCTGTCAGCGAGAAGTCCAGTGACCTGCCCAAAGTCACCCAGTGCCAGAGCCCAGATCCGCGAGCCAGTCCTATCATCCCTCCCCCAGCACTGCCCATGATCGACAATGCCCACGCCCCTGGGAAGGCAGCCCTTGTTCTAAATGACGGGGCTCACCCACGAGGAAGCAGGGAGCGTCTTTTGCACAAGCACCTGGCCTGACCGTTGGTGAAGGCACAAGGGCTAGGGCAGCACTAAGCTGCTGAAGATGCCTGATGGCCCATTACATGCGTCGGGTCCAGTGCTGATGCCTCGCGGAGGGGCTGACCAAAAGCATGGAATGGAGGCACCATGCAGCTGGTGTCACGGGTGGGGTAAGCGTGCTGGGTCCACCTTTGCAGGCAGGTCCGTGTAAAGACTCTCTGGCAGCTAACAGAGCATGGAGTTACTCTCTCAGCCCACAGCCTGGGACGTTGGTGGTGCATGGCTCAGGTTCACTCCCTGCTGAGAGCCAACAGAGGAAACCATGAGGCCTGGGTGTGCTTCACAGTGCCACGGGCCTATCCAGGAGATTCTTGGCAGCCACAGCAAATCACCGTCTACGGGTCACCTGCTATATTCCGCTGCCCCCCCCTGCCCCGCTCCCATCGCCCCGGCAAAGGGAATCCCAGGGAAGATACAGAAATACAAAACAGGGAAACCAGAGCCGTTACCTGTCTGGCAGGATTTCCCCCTCCAGCCTGGGGGACAGGTGCATCTGTCTGGGGCTGAGCAGCTCCCTCCATTTTGACAGGGCACCCTGCAAATGGCTGTAAAACAGTAACGCATGGTCACCATGTTGCCGAGGCAAATGTCCGGGCCTCCGCCACATGCAGCTCCCACCATTGCGGATTCCTGTTGTCGGGGAGATTTTATTACACACTTGCGAACTCCTGTCCATGCCTTTGTGCCACCAGCAGAAGTCAGGAGACTGTTAAAGGGGAGTGAAACCATGGGGCCGGATCCTCAGCGGCTGTCAATACCCATAGCTCCGTTAAGATCAGTGTCACGCGGCCCCTTGCCACCAGCTGAGGACCCCACCCCGTGAATGCCACAGCCTCCATGTGAATCAGATCTGTATTACGCTCAGCACGACCAGTGAGGCTGACAGACGTTCTGCATGAGACAAGCGGTAGAATACACCACCGTGACTCACAGAGGGCAAAGGCTGTGAACGCCCCGATCCCATGGGCCAGCAACGAGACGACGTGTGCAAATAGCTGCTCCCAGTGGATGTAAGAGGTTCGCAATCCGGCCCAGAGTTGGTCAGAGATCCCTGAGCAGATCAGAAAGGAGACGTCAGCCCCAGAAACTCAGTATAGGGTGACCAGATGTCCCGCTTTTATAGGGACAGTCCTGATATTTGGGGCTTTTTCTTCTACCGTCTCCTATTACACCCCACCCACCCCCGTCCTGATTTTTCACACTTGCTGTCTGGTCAGCCTAACTCAGTATTTTCATACAGCCTTCTAATAACTCCTGGAGCTCATCAAATGAAGCAACAGATCTAGGACGGTGTCTTGAATGGCACTGAGGTGATGCCTGGAAAGCCTTTCCACTTGTGCAATAAACAGTCTTTCATTTGTAGCTTAACCCATTCCAGCCCTGGAAAGAGGAAGACATCTTTAGAGTCTGCGAAGGAAGTGGGGTGGGGGGGGGTGAAGAGGGGGCCTGCAGCAGCTCTCAATCAGTGACAGGCTCTGGGAAGCGTTAGTATATCGCAGTCTGGTTTGATCAGAGATCAGCCTCTGATGTGCTTGGCATTCCCTTTGCGCTGTTCATCACTATTTCCCCTGAAAAGCAGAGCTGTTCCATTACCGCTGATTTATGCGGAAAGGGTTTATTAATTTCTCCTCTGGTATACGCCAAGCTAATAAAGCGATATATGCACACGGCAAGCAAAGCAAGGCTATAAATGAATGGCTAATTGAAACCGATTTGTTCTCACAGGCGGATGTTGGAAGGAAAAGTGCCTGCCTAGTACAAGAGCGAATTACACTAATTTCAGACAGATCTGGTAACAAGGGCAGTGACTGGATAGGCTTTTGAGGCACACAGAGGTCGTGATCAGAGAGGCGCTGCGAGCCCTCGGCAGGGTGTTAACAGCCCCTGTCTGCACTGTATTTCCTTTCCACCAGCTGCACTGTGTTTCCTTCTCACCAGCATTCTGTACTAGGAGAGCCACGCCCATACTTTTCATTCAGAGATCTCAAAGCACAAACCCTTTTGCCAACATGGGGGTAGTAGGTACAATCCCTGTGTTACGGATGGGTGAGCTCAGGCTCCAAGAGGGTGTGATTGGCCCCTGCCAAGTCAATGGCAAAGTCAGGAACAAAATCCCCATCTCCGGACTCCCAGGTCGGTGCTCAAGCCAGGCTGTAGCTGTCCCTCTCAAGGCTATGGGACTGATTCTGCTCTTTTTTACACCAGTGTAGATCAGGCAGAAAGCCAACGACATCAATGAAAAGAGACAGGTGTAAAACCAGTGTAAGGGAGAGCAGGACCAAGGCACCAAAGGGGAGATGCTGCAATCTCATCACGATCCATATTCTTCTCTCTCTGCCACTCATTTACCTTTGCTGCATCCGACTGCGTGGGCATTTGCCCGTCTCCATCCGGGGCAGCACATATACATGGGCTGGGAAAACCTCCTGTAGGCCAGGCGATAGGCAACCTTGTATGTGGTTCTGCAATAAGGTTCAGGAAAGGAGTTAGGGACTGAGCCCATATGGGGTGCGGAGAAAGCCGACTGCTTCACCCTGGGGAGAGTCACAATCCTGCCCCTGCCGTGCTCCTAGGGTTAGGGAGTAAACCAGGTCATCCCTTTGCCACTTACTTCCCCTGTTGTGCCAGCCTGGCTCTGCCGACTCCCTATCCCTCCCTGCCCACATGCTCCCAGGAGTAGGGGCCAGGCCCGCACCCAAGATTCAAGTACTGCTGTCTTTCCCAACAGGGGTACCAGGGAATGGTCTTCCTCCCTTTAGGGTGCAGGGGTGATCGCTCCTTATACACCTCTGAACAAGCACCCCGGGGAGATGCTGTGTCTCTGGGCGAATCCTTGTCCTCAGCTTCCCCGGAGACTGTAATCCAACCCCGGAGCAGACTGGCTATGCCAGATGCCACCTGTCTGTCTGCAGCGATGGCGCCCATCATTCCCTGAAGCAGGCTGCTCTCCTCACCTGTACGAACTGCAGAGCCAGTGTCCCTGGCACGTTGTGAGGTAGGGCTGGTAGACAGGCTGCACGTGGGACTCCACATACGAAGCGGCTCTCTTCTGCATCTCTACAGAGCACACCCTGCGGCTAGACAGAAGGCATCGTGTCCCACACAAAGCGAAAGCGACAGGCATAAAGCAACGGGGAATCAGGCCCAAAGGCAGGTGTAGGAATGCAGGTAAGGAATGTGCTCTGAAAACCCCTCCATGGGGCCAAATCCAGCTCCATCTATGCAACTGTGTCCTCTTACTCCATGGCTGCATTTGGCCCATGAGGGACCTGATTCTCAGCTAGTGTCAATGGCCCCATGCCTCCAATGGAGCTGTGCCAATTTCCACTAGCAGAGATTCTGGCCAAGAACCTCACAGAGAGTCAGTTAAGATGCAATTGCTAAGGCCCCCGTAATTCCTCATTTACTGGAGCAGAGTTATTGGGGTGCAGTTGGGAAGAGGAGCTGATAGGGGCTTCCAAAACTTAACATGAGTAAATCCCTTGAATATCAGCTCTATATCCTGCCCCACTGCAGCAGGCCTCACGCAACTGAGAGCTTATATTCTACACATATCTCGACGAGGTTCTACACCCGCAGGTTCGCTCCCTTCCCCCCTCAGAGCTGCAAAGCTACTCTACAGTTTGCTGGCTGGCCATCTCCAATCTCCCTGAAAACAATGCCATTCATTCCAATGTCGGGAACAGGTATCCGCAGCGAACGGGCTGCTGGGTGACTGCATGCAAGGTCTCAGAACAGAGGCCTACACAGACTGCTGTAAAATTACCGTACAAAGGAGAGGAATCCAAATCCATTAGTGGGGGGGAATCATTTTCCCCTGAACAGCAGATTAAAGGGGACATGTCAACGCTGTAAGAAAAATCATTTATTTTTTAGCTGGCCTTTGATTTGTTTTCGTTCCGAGACCATGACAGCACTGAAAAACAACACCTAGGTGATGACAAAAATCAACAGCAAGGACCAGATTCTGTTCAGTGTGGTAAAATCCCTTCCACTAAGTAGCTCTAAATTTGCACCGGGGTTGCTGAGATCAGGATCTTCTCTCCCTCCCCCCCCCCCACACACAATGTAAAAATTTCATGAAATTCACATCCAAAGAGTTCTTGGTTAAAGATTTTTGCACCCTTTTGCCAGCTTGCAAGGTTCTGTTCAGCTGGATGTTGTCTGGCACAGATCTTAGCCTCTGGAGTAGAAGCCCATTAAGAAACCCGATTATTTGTGGCAGCTTCCCAGACAAATTAGAAACTTGAACTAAAGTGCTGAAAATTAACACTGATACCAGATGCCTTCCATTAACTCAGGATAACTCATTTCATCCTGCTGGATTAATGGTATGAAAGAGGCAGTTTTGCTGACATTATTATAAAGATCTATCTACTCTGGCTGTGTGTATGTATATCAGCAGCCAGCCTTGTGTGTGTGTGTGTGTGTATGTGTGTGTGCACACATGTGCATGTGCACAAGACAGAGAGATTCAGCTTGTGGACTTCCTTACTACAGGACTGCAAAAGATTCAATACTGTAGCAATGGGCTGGGTCATTCACTGTAAAACCATACGAGACAGGTCAGAACTACAAAACTGGGGTCCAGATATCAATATTTCCAAAGTTAGTGGGAAATGAGTTAACTCGGGGAGGAGGGGAGTCAAATCCAGACTTCCCTAAATTTTAAGATGGCAGTCAGGGGGAAGTTTTGTTTTGGAGCTGGGATGCTGTTTTGACCCATTAGAGAGCTGAGGGCTCGTTGCCCAGCTTATATCCAAATCTGAATTTCCCCCCAGTTCAAAGTGTTTCGATCCAGGGGTTTGGTTCAAACCCATCTCTAATAACAATATTAATAGCAGTTATGCATGATCAGATAGGGGACATCAAATCCCATGCTTCAAGGCACAAACTGATTGACACGGTGGTCAGGAAGGAATTGTTCCACCATCTACAGCATTGCTGAGTTAGAGGTATGAGATGTTGCCCTAGTTTGATGCCTCTCATATTGGCTGCTCCTTGTGGCAGGATATTGAACGTGGTGAACCAGTCATTTGTGTGTGCGTGCATATATACATGTGTACGGGCTGGGGGGTGCATCTGGAATGTGTAAGTGTGTGTGAATGCATGTGGGTGGGTGTGTTGGTAGTGTGTTTGCACTTATGCTTGAAGGGGGTGTTATGCATGCAGGAGTGTGCACTAAAGACACAATAAGAAATCTTTAGCTGTGTGTGCTCTATTTAGCTTTTTGACTCCCCAAGTCAAGTGACAAAGATACTCTCTTTGTATATGCTGCATGGACCTAGACCAATAAGCTTGAATGTATTTGGATGGCTTTCTGCTTTATGGACGCAGCAAACAAACACCACAAACGCTTGCTAACACCTACACTACCCCAAGAAGCATCTTCAAGGTTGTCTCTTGCCTGTCCCCACACCTAGAAAGAGGCTCATTCATGTGCAGCAGACTGGCTGAACTTGGCCTTTCATGTCTCCTTGAGCCTGGCCCCCTGAAAGGCCAATCCTTATTGTGGCTTGCAGAGAAGCCCAGCGGTATGCATGCGGCAAGCCAGACTTCTGAAGGATGGACAAAGAAGAGGCTTACCCTGACTGGGCAAAACGCTCAGTGCTGGTCACACCAAGGATTAAGACAAATCCCGTGAGGAGGCAGCTGATTCTCTGCATTTCCTGTCTTCTGCTGGCTCTTTCTTTCCTGCTGTGCGATATTGTGTGGCATGAAGGGGTGTCACTCTTCAGTGGAAAGCACTGGCTCTTACTGCATGTCTCTCTTCAGTGGGGAATCCTGGAACCAGAAGAATAATGACCTTACCAAGCAGCGTCCTTTCTGGGACGGTGACATTTCAATAGCCCCCTTTGGCCCTATCGAAAAAGACAGCACAGGGGAGCAAGGTGTTTTGCTGCTTTCACTCCAAGGAACTAGGAATTTCCCTGCTGTGCGCTAGCAAAGCAATGCGGGATACGCTCTTACAATGATGCAGTGGGAGCTAAGTAGGTTTTAAAAGTGAAGCAGCAAAAACAATAATTTCATGGTGTTGTTTCTGGCTTGGGACTCATGCCATCTGAGTTCAATACCCAGCTCAGCCAAAATCTCCCGGTGTGACCTGGGGCAAATCACTTTAGGTGCCCCATCTGGCACTGGGGATAAAAATATTGCCTTTGTCTCGTTAGACCCTAAGCATTTTGGGGCAGGGACTGGCATTTCTTATTTGTCTGTACAGCCTCTAGCACGGCCTCGTTGTTACTGCACGATTAGTAACATTAGGATAGCAGTCCCACTGATGGGTTTTAAAATAAACAAACATCACTAATGCCGGCCACCCACTGCTCACAAGTAACCCTACGACGACAACGGAGCATGTGCAGCCCAGCCCTCACGAGCGAGTGGCCCTGTAACAACAAACCAGTATGTCCGGCCAACGCTCACAACCAACCCTACAATAACAAAGCACCCATGCAGCCTGCAGCTCACAAGTCACTCTGCACTGACAACCCAGCATGTACAGCAGCCTTCCGATACCAAACCATTGTGCATGTACCAGCAAGGATAAGAAAAGAAGGTAACAGAGCTGAGCCTGAAGGGTGTTCCATGTAAAAGTGCTTAAAAAAATTAGAGAGGGTTATTGTTATTTCGCATCTGATTCACATTAAGTACTTCTGGGTCAAAACTTCTGCTGGCATAAAAACCCACATCGCTCCAATGAAGCCAGTGAAATTACGCTGATCTACACCCTCTGAAAATCTGGCCTCACAAGTTTCTAAACCCACAAGTTTAAGAAGCTTTTCTTTTTCGAGGAATAGAGTAAATGGCTTGTTGAGCTGTGGCATATTTCAGAATGATACTAGTGCCAGACAGGGAGGCCAGTACAAAGGTCTGCAATATATATGGCATCACAAAGCCGCACATGTCTCACTAAATGAAATAGTGAAATCAGGTCTCATTCCCTCTTAAACACAAGGGTCCTCTCCAGGGCTTTAGAAGGCTGAATCTTTTCTCTGCAAAGCCAATACTAACCAAGCTGGGAACAAAGAGGCATTGATTCTGCTTGCAGAAGGCAAATACATAAGGCAGCGTTCTAGCGGGTCAATAATGATATCTAATTTAAACAATCCATTGACCTCCAGGTGATGGAAGTTAAAGGGAGAAAAACAACAAATCAAATACATGACAATGAAAGAGGGTCAGCCTTTCTGACTGTACCCTCTGAAACAAATCACTTTTATTGGGAGACACAAGCTTAATAAGAAACAACCCCATGGAAATGCGATATCACATTGATATAGTGAAAAGCTTGTTAAAGGGGAAATCAAGGCTGGAAATAGAGTTGGAATGATCCAGGCTTGTGTCATGGCACTTCTTTAGAAGAATTTCCAGCTCTCCAGCTGGTATAGCTCCACTGAAACCCGGTGCAACGCCAGCTGAGCATCTGGTTCAAAGCAGAGCAAGGTGGCCACATGGCTAATAATGGTGATGGGACACAAACCAACTCCTCATGGATTGGATCCTATGTCCAGAGGTACCGTGGAAGCGGTCAGAAGCAGCGAGGAAGGTCTGGAGCAGAGGGGAAAGTGAGGTCCAGAACAGAGGAGGAAGAGCTATAGAAAAGATAACACAGGGCCTCGCTTCAAACACTCTTGCTCAAGGTACGGCTGGATTAGGTCATCTACAGCCAATGAGGGGACCCATATTAGCAGGCAGGTTGTATCCTTGAAGAGGACAAATGCAGTGATGCCCAGGCACGGGATTGGGCCCCTAGAGAACATGAGGGAAACGGCCCACAGAAGCAATTGAGAAAGAGACGGATGGCTTGAAGCTGGTTAAAATCCTGAGCTCAGTAAACCCCTGACAGTTCCGTGGACTAGATCCATGCATTTGAAGGCCAGAAAGGACTTTACAGTCACCTGGCCCCAAAACAGCACCGCAGACTCCATCAGAAGGCTGACGAGCAAACCTCCCTCTTCTTGTAAAGGCACAGAGGCTGCCATCACATCACCCTATTTGGTCTGATTAATCCTAAATAGTTTGTATTTAGGATCATTGATAGTGTTGGCTGCTTCCCATGCGCCCCCTCGTGGCCGGGGCGGGGGGGGGGAGGAAGGCACGTGCAGTGCCCTGGCTCTGTTTTCCCCTTCTCCAGGGCTCCTTAAACAATCACCATTCCAAAGAAAATTAAAACATTCCCCACCTGGGAGCTGAATGTATGTGTTCACTCCTTAAGCACATTCTGACCCAACCCCAGTACAGTTCAATGGCTTCCCAGGAACCAAACTTGCTCCCAACAGCAGCTTCTTCAAGCCAGCTGCAGCTCCTTCATCTTCTGTTGCCCAAGGAATCCCCCCACTTCACTGCAGCCCCCTGCTGCTCTTTATAGGGAATTACTTGATCTCATTCAGCTGGGGCTCATCCTGTATTCAGGGCTGGCTTAGCCCTAGGCTCTCCAGCCCATGGGGCAAGCCACCCCGTTACTGGTGCCAAATCACCACCAAGTTGTTTTGTTGCCCCTTTGGGTGGGGGGAAGGAAAGGGGCCAAAAATCTTTTCCACCATGGGTGACAAAACACCTGCTCAGATGCTGCACAGAGCTTGCGCTGGCTGTCTACGCCGAATTCACCCTCTAGTTAGTAATTTGTGGTGCTGGCCTCCACAAGGAATCAAGCTTAGGTTCATTTACAGAAATAAGAACGTCAACCACCAATGGAAAGGAAAGAAAACTCTTTTGCACACCTCAGCGCACAGGGAGACATCTTAGAACGGCTTGGGTGGTCTGATGACCCTCCTAATTCCCTCCAACCTCACCTAGGCTAGAGCAGGGTGCAAATTCTCAGTGAAATCATAATCCTCCATGCCAATGGTATTCCTTCAACGAGACTGAATTCTGCGTTCGAAATCAAACCCCGAAGATCATCTCGACCGAACTCCACTGATGGAGGTAGGAGTTTTGCCTGCGTGGGGGTGGCAAAGAGGCCTGGGTCCAGAAGGACAATTTGTTTTGTTCTGTTTTTAAAAATCAAAGACTCTAAAACAGGATTGTTTTGCCCCTCACCCGTCAGACTGTATCTCCGCCTCCACAGTGTTTTAAAATCAGGGTTGTTCAACGTCAGCTCAAGATCCAATCTTGATCAAATTAGATCTGTTCTACACATTTTAATGCCCATAGGAAGCCAGGACCCCTGAGAGCTGCAGAAGACGCCTAATGCTTGTTTGTCAAATTGTAATTTAGCGCTGTCTTTTCTCTGATCTCTTTTCTAAAATGATTGGCAGCGATAACAATGCTTTTCCTGTTTATGTCCCAGAAAAATCTGTGTGTGACGAGAACAAAACCCCAACACAATACATTTTTGCACACTCTCTCTAATCTCAACAGTGCCTCACGTTTTATAATGTAAAGTACGTTGCTTTGTTCATATAAAGCTACTGTATGTAGCTCTATGCTCCTGAAATGCTAGGAAGCACCAAAGCCTTGTAATATGAGCCTCTGTAGCCAAATATGATTCCAGTGGTTGCATCTGACTTCTATCCAAAAATATACGCTAAAACTCCTGCCCTCAGAGCTGGTCCCTAAGCTACTGCGGGAGCCAACAGAAAACATTATCACATGTTGTGTGTCAGCTGTCCTACTTTCGCCAGCTCTGTAGCTGAAACCCAAGAACCGGTTAAAGTCTATTATTGAATCATTGTGTCGGGGACTATTTTCTAAGTGGCGCAGGAGGGTTCAGCCCCCCCCAGCTCACATTCACCTCCGGGCGTGAAAACATTCCTGAAGGATCCATTCTGACATTCATCATGTGGGACTTCTGGGAGACATGTTCCCATCACGGGAGTGCCCCGATCCTACCTGGAGATGTGTAATTCAAACTCTTCGGGACTTGAGCAAGAGACAGAGCAACTTTCTCAGGGAACCCCAAACTACTCACGGCAATTCTTCCTCCAGTCTGCCAGGACAGGTGCTGGGGCTCATTAGTATTCCACAGGCCTCTGCAGTAGGGTGCTGCGCAGCTGAAATGTCATATTCAGTAAGCATATTAGGACAAGATCCTGCAGTCAGTGATGCTAAAGATAGAAGGGGTGGATGGGGATGGGGGGGGTGGATGGGGATGGATAGATAGATAGATGGATGTGGTGGATGGGGATAGATGGATGTGGTGGATGGGGATAGATGGATGTGGTGAATGGGGATAGATAGATAGATTAGATAGATAGAGGGGGTGGATGGGGATAGATGGATGTGGTGGATGGGGATAGATAGATAAGATTAGAAAGAAGGGGTGGATGGGGTTAGATAGATGGATAGACAGATAGATAGACAGACAAAAATTTCAGATGAGCCCCAGCTCAGATCCAAACTTTGCCAAACTTTGGGGTGTCTGGTTAAGAATTTGAACACATCTTTTTCTAAATTAGCCATTTTTTAAAAACAGAGATGACTCTAACATCTGCCCTTGTGGCACACAGGGAAGACGTGTCTCCTTCTGCAAGCGCTACAGGATTCTGCTAAGATTGTCAACCCTGAAGGTCAGTCACCCACTTAAGACAACTGTCAACAGCCATCAACTTCCTGAACGAGGGAGTTGTCCATCTCGCTGCCTCCCCTCCTTTGGGCATTTCAGTCTCAGAGCCGCTAGAGGGGGCCCTTTCCTAAGGGTCAAACAGACCCCTGGAGCTATTCCGAGCTCCCCTGCAAAAGACAAGCCAACTGTTGCCGGCGTGGGCGCGCGCTGCGGACCCAGTGACCCAGGGTAACCCTGCTGGGGGGGACCCCATGTTAGGGGCTCCATCAGGGCAGGCCAAGTCACCAGCTCAGTTTCTTTCCGGCGGATCCAGCCACGCGTCTGGGATGACTGGGTGCAGGGGCATCTGTGATGCCGGCGCAGGTCCTGATGCCGCTACCTTTGCATCTCTGCAAACCCCCCCACCACCACCACCACGACCTGGCCCCATGCTCGCCCCTTTCGGGTCTGCTCCTGCCGCTTTGGGTACCCCTCCTGCCGAAGCGCGTCAAGATTTTGCAAATAACCCAGTGCATCCATTCTCTCCCAACCACCATCGCTGCCTTTTTGCAAGGAGGAGGCTTCCCCCACAAAGTTAGACCCAGCAGACACAGCGCGTGCAAAGAAATCCGAATTGCAAAGCAAGCGGGGGTGGGGGGGGGGAGAGACCTCAACGCACGTGAGTCGAAACTTTGCAGCCCCCCGGTCAGAGCGGTTTGCAAACCCGGGGCTCAGCCACGAAGTTACAATCTCCAATTTCCAGCCTACTTACTTTCCCTGCCGCTCCGAGGAAGGCGAATTTGCAGAGAGAGGGAGAGAGCGCGAACTCCCCAGAGCTCGCCTGCCCCACAGTAGCTGCGCACACGCAGGAGCCCCTGCACCCAGCTTTTGCCTCCTTGTCGGACCAGCCCGCGGTCTGTAGCCCCTTTGCATGTCCTTCCCCCCGGGGCTGTGCCGCGTCCCTCGCCTCTTAATCCAATGAGCTCGTGGAAAGGATCAGAGCCGAGCCTTGCACCGGGGGAGTGAAACCCACAAAGCATTTCGGGGGAGAATCCACGTTGCACCAAGGAAGACCCAGCCTCCCCTTCCCCCTGCGGCTGGAAACACCCCCTACCAGGGGGGGTCCACCTGCAGCCTCTCCCGACCCCCCCAGGGGAGGGGGAAATCCTCCCTCGCCTTTGCACCTGCGCCTAATAGTCACCTCCGGGGTTACCTCTCTGGGTAGTCTCAGCAGGGGTCCGGAATCCGGATCGTGCCCTGGGGATGACTGCTTACCCATCACAGCGGGGCAGGGCCGTGCAAAGAGGAGCAGGGTGAAGGGGGAATCCCAGCGGGGTGCGTGTTCCGCGGCTGCCCCCCCCCCCCCCCACGCGTGGTACCCTGAACTGGTTTCTAAAATCACCCCCTTCCTAGGGAAGCAACGTGCGCTCCGATCCAGCCAGCGCACCCCTCGCTGCGGATTGCACAAGGGGGTGGCGAATGAGACTGAATTCTGGGCTCCTGAGCGCTTCCTGGCTCCTCTGTCAACGATCAGCCCTGTCTAGGGTCCCCTCAACACATCTGCTAGCCAGCCTGCCAATGCCAAGCTCTACAGCACACCCAGCCGCCTTGCACGGACACGGGCGTGAGGGTGGCTCGAGGATTAGGTCTCCAGCACGCCACGGAGTGTCCAAACCTAAACTGCTCACCTGCCTGTCGTGCTCGCTAGGGGGCGCCAAGCAAACCACCCATCTCAAAGCCAATCGCAATTTGAAAGCTCTGGGGGTTAGTTTCCCTCCGGTTCTGTTTCCTTGGGTGGGTTAAATTGCTCTCCATCCAACTCGACCGAGTTGCCTGGTGTGTAGACTGCTGCTTCCCCAGAGAGAAGAGTTCATCCCGTGGTGGGGTGGGGCTTTTTCGGGTTAACATGTTCCCCCGCAGAATGCAAAACTAAACCATGTGTTTGTCACATGTGTTCTCAATGCACTTTAGAGCAATGTTTGCCCCCTACTTCATGGAAATAGCAGGGCGGGGTGTTTTTGTTTGTTTTGTTTTGTGGGGGGTGTTAATTCTGCCTTTTATTTCCAAGTGGTCCCAATTATGTCATTGTGATTAAAGGGTTGGGTTGTGAGTGTTTGGTTTTTTTTCAAACCTCTCTTTCCAGAGGTTGATAACTCAGTTCAGTGTAGGCTGAGACTCAGTGCACAAGGGATTAGGCTCAGAAGCCAATCTGTTTCTCTTCGCAAAACTTTGGAAAACTCTTTCTAGTGGTTTTTGAGGTACCCAAAAGCAGCAGTGAAGGTCTGGATGTCTCAGGTGCATGACCGAGGAATGCCATTATTAATCGGAGTGGCTTGTACACTAAGAATGAGTTAAAGGGAATTTGAATTCTGGTCTGAGAGTCAGTGAAATAGCCTTCAGAACTCTCCAAATTACCAACACATCTCAGGGTACGTCTACAGGACAGCCAGGGCTGCGGCCACTGACAGTGTGCCGCTCTAGTGCCCTAGTGTCGGAAGGGCTTGTTCCACCTACACGGTTGATCCATCTCTACGAGACGTAGTAACTAAGTCGACGCTAGAATTCTTCCTTCAACTTAGGCATGTCTACAAAGAGTCAACTTAACAGTGTCGCACAAGGCGCGACATTTCTCACAGCCCTGAGCCAGGTAGCTAGGTCGATCTAATTTTTACCTATAAATCTGACCTAACAAATCCTATGACACTCCAAGAACCAGGCATCAAAGCTCAAGGGCAGAGGGCCCAGTTCTAGTGAAGACAGGGGTGCTCAGCAGTTCGCAGGATCAGCTCCTTACACATGATGTTACACAACAGAATAAGACAAAAGCCTAAATGCTACGGCCCAAATGTGTCCCTGGTGCATTTTCATTTCCTCTAACCCAGTTTCACTACAAGGAACACATCAAGCCTAATGGCCCAGCTGTCCACAGACTTCCTCACTTTGCATGTTATTTTGTTAGACGTGTTGGTCAATTATCAAAGACAATTGTTCAGTCCCTTTGTGCAAACCAGGATTTGCTTTGTTTCTATCTTTCCTCATAAGGAATTAGAGCAAAGTCGCGCTATTGTTCCTAAAACAACTTAGCGCAGTCTCCTACCACCTGGCCGTCCACAGAATTTCCCCCAAAGCCAGCAGGAGCCTGGTGTGTGAAGGAAGGTCAGGATATGGTCCACATGGGAATATTTGTTACCCTCTGGCTTGGGTTGGGGGTATTTTTTAGCACACGGACATTTAGGGGAAATAGTTAGACAACAGCAGCTCAGAAATTGCTGGCACGTCTACTGTCTGGGAGTTGTGCAGGCTGCTGATTTAAGCCCAGCTGCCCCCTGCCCACAGTCACACCAGCTGAAGGTTGGAGCTAGAGGCTGATTCTCCGCTGCTGTGCATTCACTGACACCCGTGCCAAGTGAGCGTGAAACACAACGAGCCAGATCCTCAGCTGGCGCCCTCGCTCCATCAGCCGAGGCACTCGCCCCGCCGTTGTGGCTTGAGAGCACGTTATCCCCCCTTTGGCCTGGTGTAAATGGCAAGGAGCAGGGGCGTGGAGAATGAGGTGCCCTGCGTGTGATGGGACGGAGCGAGCACATGAGAGGAGTCCGGGTCCCCACAGGCAAAGGTGATAACCGGCCCCACCAAAGGAAAAGGTGATTGGCTCTGATTGAAAAGGCAGCTCCCCTTTGTGTAGCATCTTGCATTATGTAAGCACGAAACGGGAACTGTTTTATTCCTCCGTCTGGATCCATCTACCCCTGGGGAATTATTTAAACTCATTTAATCTCGTAAACTCAACGCACAGACAGCCCTTCCCGAGAGCCTCACAGGGACAGTAATAACCTTAATGCACAGTCTGTTATTGCAGCTCGACTGCCTGGGGGAAATGAACAGTGCCCGCTATGAAACTCTGCTTCCAAAGATATTTCTATTAGCCAAGTGAAAAGCTTGTCCATAAAGGTGTTGGATTTCATTTCACTGCTGTGTCACTCACCTGATCTGTTGAAATCAGTCATTTGTCATGAACGGAGGATGCTTCCTTTAAACGGCACCATGATTTCTTACTGTCGGAACAAATAAAACCAGGTTATGCACGGCCATTCTCCTGACGTATGATTTCCTTGATTCAGATCTTGATCATTCTGGGCCTGCTTTTGGATTCCTTGTGCACCCAGCTCTCCCTCCGGACTATCAGGGTGGGGCAGCAGGAGTACAGGATCAGGCCCAATCTCAATGCACACTTTTAGCGAATATTTATAATGGAACCACACTACAAAAATGCAACCATGTGTTGGTGGCGAAGGGATGGAAAGAAGTGACTGGCGCTGTTGTAGGACAGCGTCCGTCCTTGGGATGGTACATTTTCTTTCTGTGCAACGCAAGTCCTGGAGGACACATTTTCTCTGTGGGGTTTGCATGAGCAGGATCCTTTACACTGGTAGAAATTGGGGGTATCCCCACCAAAGTCAGTGGCGTGCCACTGGTTTAAACCTGGCACCAGAGGAAAATCAGGTCCTGTGTGACTTTAGATTGTCCCAAAGTCCAGTTATAAAATAGGCAGGAAAATGAACATGTTGATTCAAAAGAACTCCAGGTGGGACCATCTAACTCAGAGCTGGTATTCATCCCCCAAGCACTATGTTATGCTGTATCCAAGTCATTCCAAAGCAATGTGTGAGGCTGAATTAGGTGCTTAATTCCCATCTTCCTTAAGCTCGTTTGAAAATCCCAGTTTTAAAGCATCAGTACACAGCCCCAAGCAGTGTGTTATCCCATCCCCAGGGCTCGTCTGCATGGAGGAATAGCCCGGAATAGTCATTCTACACTAGCTCTCCATGTGTATGCTCTTATTCTGCACTGCCTTTGGGCAGTTTAGCGTAATCCCCTTTGGAAACAAAAAGCCCTCCCCTCCCACTCCCCCCCCGAGTGGAATAAGAGCACACCCTAGTTTATTTCACAATAGCTTCCCCATGCAGCATGTTATGCCATTCTCAGTGGCCCACCCCTAGGAATATGCTATGTCATCCGCAAAGCGAGTGTTATCCCACCCCTAATACTCATCCTTGAGCAATGTTATACATACTCAGTGCCCATCCCTAAACACTATGTTATACCAGCCACAGTACTTTCAGACATGTGTTCGAAATCTGCCAACAAACACAGAAACACAACTCCATGGACAAATATTTCAGTTGTCTTTGAATTCCTAGGGCGTATAATGCTCTATCAACATGCACAATGAATCCTCATCTCATCCCTTGGAGGGAGGTCAGCGATATTATCCCTGCTCTACTGATGGGGAAATGGAGGCAGAGCGGTTATGTGTCTCACCAAAGGCCACAGGAAAAGTTAGTGTCAGAGCTAGGCATAGAATTCAGGAATTGCTGGTGCCCTGGCCTGTGCTCAACCCACTACACTACACCACTCTTTGCCAAACTGCATCTGAATTTAAGGTGAAACATTTGACTGGAAAATTTGGGGCCCAATCCTGTAAGGTTCCAAGCACCCTCAGCCTCAAGTCAATGAGTAGCAGGTGCTCAGCTTTGCAGGATTATTCCTTAGTTATGTAACAGAAGTGTAAAATCATACTCAGATACCAATGTGTGAATGAGGGTGGATTAATTCACACCTAACTGCATTCACGGCACACAGTGTTTAGCTTCACATCTAATAACAACACACTAGGTAGGAATAAAGAAAAGGAGTACTTGTGGCACCTTAGAGACTAACCAATTTATTTGAGCATGAGCTTTCGTGAGCTACAGCTCACTTCGCTGTAGCTCACGAAAGCTCATGCTCAAATAAATTGGTTAGTCTCTAAGGTGCCACAAGTACTCCTTTTCTTTTTGCGAATACAGACTAACACGGCTGTTACTCTGAAACCTGTCATTAGGTAGGAATAAATACACCATAATTCAAGCTCTCTGTTATCTTATTGCTTAATTATTTCTGAAGTGCATTGCAGCAATTTATAATTTTGCAATTATTTTAATTGCTAAAATGTTTGAATTTTTGCTCCTTTTTCTAGGACAAATCTTTAATCAGGCAAACTCTCACTGACATCAGTGTCACCTAGGGAAGGACTGAAGATAAACTGATAAAAGTCTATTTGATCCCCTGTCTGTGGAGAAGCATTCAGTGCCCAGGACTGTAATATTCACTTCACCGGGCCAACGCCCAGATCTTCAAAGTTATTTAAATACCACTGAGTATCTGGGCACAAATCCTCAACTGGTGTAAACTGGGATCTCTCCCGTAATTTAAATGGAGCTGTGGTAATTTACACCACTGAAAATCTGTCCTATTGCTCTGTTAATGCTATAGAATTTCTGAAAAGAATGTTCATGTCTTTTAGTTCTTGAGTTTAAGTCTATCTGAATTTGATACCATCCCTAAACTGATAGTCTGGATGATTCACCCACGGTGCACCCCGTCAGACATTAAAAGTGGACTCCTGCTATGTCTAATATTATTGTTTGGCTCAAGACCAAGAAGGAAACATTCCTGCATCATCTCTTCTTATTTGTAAAAAAGTTGAAATCTGTCTGCCAATGCAGAGTCTTAGAACGCAACGCTGCTTTCCCCACAGACTAAAATGTTAATTATTCCACACTCCAAATGCTTTACAGCATCAGTTCTAAATTAAAAGCCAGGTTAAATTTTAAGGGTAAAATTCTTCTATCACACCCTCATCCTCATGTCACCTGCAGTGCAGATTCTTCCAGCATGTGCTGCAATATGCTAGGCACACTGCTTCACATAAACCCACTGACGTCAGCAGAGCTGACATGAGATCCTAGGCACTGAAGGCTGAGTGTGGGATAAAGATAGGATCCTGGATCCCTTGCACACCCAGTTCCCAGTGACATCAGAGTTTTGGGTGTGCAGCAAATGCTGCAGTAGGGCCCTGAGGGAGGACTACAGGCTTTGGCTCTAGGTCCACAAGGGACTTGTGGCTCTGAAAGAAAATGGTGCCCTGTATATATGAAAAATGGATAGGAATGACTAACAGAGGGGACACAATAGGAGACGCAGTACTAAAGCCCTGATTCAGGAAACTATCCCTATTCAGGAAGGCATGAACATAAGAGAATACGAACAGCCACACTGGAGTCAGACCGATGGTCCATGTAGCCCAGTGTCCTGTCTTCCGACAGTGGCCAGTGCCAGGTCTTTCAGAGGGAATGAACAGAACCCGGCAATTTATCAAATGATCCATCCCCGATCATCTAGTCCCAACAAAGTCAATGGGACTTAAACATGTGCTTAAGTGCTTTCCTGAACTGTGGCCTTAGAGGCAGTAAAGGGCAGGAGATAGATAGATAGATAGATAGATAGATAGATAGATAGATAGATAGATAGATAGATAAGCAAATTCTTAAAACATATTTGCAACAATTTTGCTACAAAATCAGGACTGACCCAGTAGCTGTTCTACACAATGACCTCTCCTGGACTGCAGTGGGGGGTTTGCATGCAGCATAGCTCCAGGAACAGATACCTAAAGTAACAAATGATTCTTTAGTGCTTCTTTTTTAAGATACCAAGCATTTCATTTTTTAGGGAAAACCTTTCCAATTGAAATGCTTGGAAGACTTTTAAAGGGGTCTTTTAAATTAAGGAAACAGAGGAGCAACCCCTATTTCACAAAGTTTGCTAAGAAAAAAGACTGCCCACCATTCTGTTCTCTACTGCACTTGCTGTGGACCAGACTCTGATCTCAGTTACACGGTGTAAATCCAGAGTAGCTCCACTGAAGTCAGTGCAACTTAAAGCAAGTGAAATTGAGATAAGAACCTGGCCCATAGCCTTTAGCCTGTGAGCTCACCTATCGCCCGGTGCTGTGGGCACCTCTGATGCAAAGTCAACAGTCATTATTCAGGCAAATAGGTAAATGTTTTGCTGGTGTAAAGACAAACACTGAGTGAGGACCTCAGGACTGGCCTCTTATAATTAAATACTATGGCAATAATTCACTGCAGTCTAATTTTCTCCACCATAAAGAAAATGTATGAGCAACATTAATATTATTATTTAGCCAGGTTTTTTATATATTACTTATGCTTGCATATTATTTGCACAACATTTAGATGAGACAGTGATGGTCACTGTATAAAAGTCAAGAGAGAGAAACTTACAAAACACGGGTCTCTATTGCACCTGGATCAATCAAGAGTCACGCCATTAACTTCAGTGGAATTACACTAGTGTAAAATGGGCATAAGTCAGGAGAGAAATCAGCCCCCATGTTTTTTCCTGTACATTCACCCAGCAAATTACTCCCTAAGGAAATATACTGCCCTCAATCCATTGTGGAAATCAAGCTGAGTTGCATGCATGGATTAAATTGGTCCTTAAATCACACCTCTGCCAACAAATAGTTGCTTCAAGAAGAAATCATTTTAAAATAGATCATTTTTCTCTTATGATCCTTTGATTCTAAGAGACCGTTTCTGGTTCGAAAGTGATTGCACATAAGCATGGACCAAAGTAGAGCTTTTCTAGCTTATTGGCTTTACAAGAAGCAGACCAGCGAGGAATACTGGAATTCCCATTACTGTAGGGTGGGTATTGTAGTGGGAGAGGAGGGCAGAGAGAGATTGAATATGGGAACATTTTAATTTCTCCAGTTTGTTTTTTCTGCCATCCGTTCTCTCCCCTCCCCTCATTCCCTTTTTTTTGTTCTTTTGTGTCTATTTTGAAGGCACACATTAAATCTCCCCCCTTATGCTCCGAATTGACTTACTGTCACATTGCCCATGTATATTGATTGAGACTTAGATTTATTTTGCTGCAATTTGTAAATCTACTGCCCCTCCACAAAATCCATATTATAAAGAAATATGTCAAAATGAGCAAGCTTCGAGATTCAATTTCTCTTCATTAGCTGTGGGGGAACCCACTGGAGTTGGGTCTCAGATATTACTGAGGGGTGCAAATTCAGATACCAGAATTAGACTGTGGGTCACAGGGAACAATGTTTAAAAAGTCAAACAAATATACACACTAGTTACAGTCAGCGTTTTCTTACCCCACTGCTAATTCCGCTGTGATCCACAGTAGATCCAGATTTAATGATGGGGGACGGGGTCTGAGTCCAGCCACTACATCTGTGTCACTGACTCATGCAATCAGCTTCCCAGGGCCAATGAAGAGAGTGTCAGAAGCTTGCCCATCAGCTCATCACCTACAATTCCTTGTTCTTTTATTCTTTGCTTAGTGAATTAATCCAATTACCATGACAAAATCGTCTTTTCACTCAGAAAAAAATGCCCAATGAAAAAGCATTCCCTAACATTTTACTTCTGTATATCTTCTATCTCCAGTGCCAGCCACCTTTTGAGTATCACAATAACTGACACCCAAAGTACCCTCCAAACTAAGGACAAAAGACAGACCGCCCACCCACATTGTGTTCTGCCCTGGATTGCGGGCAGTATATGGCTACACACACACTGTAGAGATGTAACATCACCTACCCCTGAAATGCAGCCCCCTCTGGGGTGAAATGTGACAGCTCTTTAAGAGCACACAGAACTCCTCAGGTCAGTTCAGGGAATCAGGGCAGAAAGTATGGAAATCACCCAGCTATATAGCAGTAACTTCAGATGATCTTTGACTTCTTGCTTGCCAGAATCAGATAATTCTCAGCAAATAGAAGCACACTAAATATCCAGGATATGCTGCCCCTATTTGAGATTTCTGGGACGTTCCCAGCCCCTGGGGATCATTCTGCGCTGTATTTTGCCTAATGACTTTTTTAGCATTGGTAATCGAAAACAACTGGATCTGATTAGTAATAAGCTTTGCATTAGAGCTCTTTGAATCATTGTTATGCGGGTGATGAGGGAGGAGAAAGGGGTACATATTTGCACTGTAGAGCTATGGACCAACATGCATGTATCATATGCAGTACCAATAGCAATCTTAATCATTGTACCAATATGGGGCAGAGGGGAAAGTGAAAGAAAGTAACTTTATGGAAACCAATGAGCTCTACCTGTATAGTTCTTGTCACTGTCTCTGTTTGCTCCCACAGCCTTAAAACCCAGACTTTGACCTGTACATGGACAGTACATAAATTAAACTTCTTATATTTGACCTCCATCACTCCTCTTTTCAAGACAAACAGCTTGAGAGATGGCAAAGTGAAATTAAAAATTTGCACGAAGGGCTGGATTCTGCCCTCAGCAATGCTGAAGACAAAGGAATTCCTCCGGATTTACCCCAGTGTAACGGAGAGCGGAGTTGGCCCTATGTGAGCACACTGGGCTCATCTCAAAAGAAGCCAATAGTTGCTTTAAAAAACTGCTTTGCTGTAAGGATCATTACTTTTTTTATTTATTGAGCCAGACCCTGAGGTTCTCAGTTCCTTTCTCTGGTCTCATGTTCTCTGATGTTCAAAGCCGTGTTGAAGCCACCGGAGAGAGACCTCAGGAACTGGCCTGTTGCTACTGGGATAAAGTAGGCTCTGATTGGCATCTCTTTTAACCCTCATGTGCTGGCTTTCCTACCCATCCCCAGCACCTGCAGCCCTTGGGCACTATGCCCACTCTGGCATACAGTACCTGCTACGTCCTCTCCTCCTCTCTGTGCCCCTCTGCAGCAGCCATGGGAAATGGGCCACCTTCTTCTGCTCCAAGCAACTCTCCACAACCCAGCCTCCACCTCCTCTGCTGTTTGCCGCTGCTGCATGGCCAAAGCCTCTCCTCCCCAGCTGGCTGCATCTGCTCCTCTCCTGTGCCTCCCTGGCGTGGCTGGTCACTGGTGCTGCAGGCAGGCAGGAGGTCCCTTTAGAGGTGGAAGGGAGGCTTTTTATGCTTTTCTTCCTGTATAAATCAGGATTGGAATGGACAATCCCAGACAGGACTTCCTGTGTGTGTTGCTCGCTGATAACGAGCTCAGAGAACAGAACAAACACAGCGGACAGCTCACAGCAGGCCGAGAGAAGGACAGGGCCTAGGGACAAGGCAGAGCTAGCAGCCCTCGTGGGCTCCCCCGTGACACCCCAGTCATAGCGAGGGGGGGGCTAAGAGCCTCTCTAGGCCACTTCCAAGCCGTGTGGTGCTGGGACCCACAGACTGACAGAACACGGACAGCCCCAAGTGGCTGCACTGAGAGCCCCTCTCTGGAGCTCCCCAAGCTACTCTGAGGGTCACCCTCAGACCGGGCAGATAGATGGGGGGAGCTTTTCAGAGACACTGGCATGTCTTAGCTTTTAGCAATGAGCCTGGCTGCCCCTCCGGCTCTGTGTTAAACCCAGACCCACTGCCTAAAAAACAAGGTCCCGTCACACGGCTTTGGGATTGGCGCTGGGGGGAGAGCTGGGCACCACTTGTGCGCCGAGTGGAACTGACCCCCCCGCCCTCCATCCCGGAGCACACCCCGATGCTTTCCATGGACATTCTGGCTGCACTCAGGCCAAGATCAAGTGGGACTCTTTCTAGAAGTGTTAAACCCCGCCCGGAACACAGCATCCCTTTCACTCCCACCGCACTGAGATATTTAAACACACGGGCTCTCAAGTGGCTGATGGGTGAAGAAAACCTACCCACCCCTAAACACCTGGTGAGCCAGAAAACCCTGGCCAAGCCACAACTGCATTGGACAGAAGATAATGAGCCTTTCCTATCTGCTTCATCAGTTGGAACTCATCCCAGGGCAGCAGTGACTGAAAGCCAGTAGCATCTGCTGGCTGTCCGGCAGCCTACACAAAATGAGTCTCAGTCAAGTTCCCAAGGGGGAGGCATGCATGTCCCCAGCTGGTGGCCTGCTGGAAGTCAATGCTCTCACATGGCCTCTCCAGGTTTAGTTCAGGGCACGCTGGTGGGAGAAGCTTGCACAGTCTATGCTGTACCTGGATTTGGATTAATATCTAATTATATCTATTATTAATTACTGCATCTATTCATATCTAAGTATGGAATTATACATCACAATCATTAAGGGATTTTTTAAAATTCTCACAATAACCCCTGCAAGGTAGAGACGTGTTAATCCCATTTTACAGATGGGGAACTGAGCTACAGGGTAGAATAACAGGTTTCAGAGTAGCAGCCATGTTAGTCTGTATTCGCAAAAAGAAAAGGAGGCCTTGTGGCACCTTAGAGACTAACCAATTTATTTGAGCATAAGCTTTCGTGAGCTACAGCTCACTTCATCGGATGCATTCCTGAAGTGAGCTGTAGCTCACGAAAGCTTATGCTTAAATAAATTGGTTAGTCTCTAAGGTGCCACAAGTCCTCCTGTTCTTTTAGGGTAGAATAAGTGACTTGTCCCAGATCACACAGGAAGTCTAAAGTCAAGCTGGGAACTGAACCTCACAGGTCATCCTTCCTCCCTTAGCATTTAGTCTAGAGATCGCCATCTGGCACGTTAGCATCCGCTCTACATTCATTGGGAAACAGAAGAAGAAAACATTGGGATGCATAATATTACAGCCCATCAGAACATGGGAATTTTGTCCCCAGGCCAACCCACCGATATTTTCATCCATAGTTTGTCAGGATTTCAAAATTCTCCACAATCAAAGTTTAACTACCACGGCTGGTACAACTGCCAGCCGTAGCCGGTCAAAGATTGGGGGCGGGGTAGAAATTCACGTATTTTCCCCTTTTTAAAAACATTGACATTCACAGTTTGGATTAAAAGAAATGACGTTTTGAAAACCATGCTATGCCTTGTAAGATATTTGAAACTGTTGCTCATTTTACCTAATCCACCTGCAAGGAAAGAATCCGAAAACACAGCACATGTCTTTACAGCTGCGCTGCCTCCCTTTCTCTGTGCTGGTAGGGGTGAGATCTTCACTTACACCTGTGCTCATTTACACCTTGATTCAGTCACACACATAAGCATGTCCAGACACCCCCATTCAGCGCAGCATTTAGTCATGTGAACAGGCTCATTGAAATCACAGCAACTATGCGCATGTCTAAAGTTAGGTGCATACTTCAGTGTTTTAAGGCCTTGAGATAGCAAAACACTTTAGCATGTGCTTAACTTTAAGCACACAAGTGACCCCATCCCTATTTGGCAAAGCACTTAAGCGTGAACTTAACCTTAGCTGAATCAGCTGACTGTTTATTTCCCGGATTTACTTATTTTCCTTAGTGGGAGCCTTTTCAATGTTATTTTTACTACCATCATTTTAATTTGATATTTTTAAAAATATGTCATTTCAAACTGTGTACAATTCATTATTATTATTAGCATTGTTTTCCAAAGCATTTATCTGTCACCCATCACCATGGTATCTGGGTGCCTATTGGGTAGTGCATGTTGTCCTGAATAGTGTATTTAGGGCCTTTTCCAAAGTCCATTGAAATCCCTGGAATGACTTCCATTGACCTGCGTGGCCTTTGGATCAGGCTAAGGCAGATGCATTATACACTGAAAGCAATACAGAATTGTAACTAACCAGAGCTGGGAGGACAGCATAATGTCAGATCAGAGACCCCGCACACTGGGAAGTTCAGATCCAGAGTTCATCTAATGCTCTATAACGTGCAGTCATGGATTCAGTTCTGCAAGGTGCTGAGTACTCATGTGAAGCGCTGAGCAATCTCATGTCCCAAGATCCCTAGGTCACCAAACTCAAACCCCGCCCCCCCCACCCCCCGGAGTTTTGGGAAAGATCCGATCCAGACTCAGCTCCAGCAACTACCTCTAGCTCTAACCCATCCTTTCCCATGTCTTCTCGCTTACTCATAGCAATAGGTCACAGTCCATTGTTGAGAGCCTATCAGCCACCCACCCAGCAACAGATCACAGGGAGACAAGTGGAGAACTCTTTTTCTGACCTCTTCGTTCAAGCCAGCGGGAATGAAAATGTGATGTGTGGAAAACATTTCCTGTTTACTGAAATGTACCGTTCACGTTAACTGGTGAGGCAGGAAATGGTCACAAGAGGCCACAACATTGTGTATTTTTAAATTTGAAATAATGACACTTCATCTCCAAGAGATTTGTTATCCTTTTGTGGAGGTCAGGACTTTTGGTAAAAACGGTCTGGGTGGTGTGTATGCGCGTGTGGGTGTGTACACATTCAAAGTGCGATATTGACTTGTAGATAGTACTGCAATCCGTGTGTGTGTGTGTGTATACATTCAAAGTGCTGTATTGATTGTAGATAGTCCTGCAATCCGTGTGTGTGTGTGTGTATACATTCAAAGTGCTGTATTGATTGTAGATAGTCCGGCAATCCGTGTGTGTGTGTCTCTGTGGGTGCATTCGAAGTGGTGGGTGGGTGTGTACATTCACAGTGCTGTGTTGACTGGAGCTACTCAGGACCGCAGTCCACGTGTGTGTACAGTGCCGGGCTGAGCTGCTGCTTGGGAGGTGCTCCTTGGTTTGAAGGGAGGCGCATGCTATACCTGCAAGAAGGGGCAGCCCGGTGCAAGCTGAGTGAATGGCGGGGCAGAGAAGGTCCCCTGTTGGAGGTGCTCAGGCTAGGGCACTTGTGGGAAATAACGAGTGCTGAAGAAAATGAAGACAACAAAGAAGCAGGGCTTCCTAGCCCATGGGAAGGACAATGAGCAAAATGCTGTGGGCCAAACTCTGCCATTTCATCTGTCTTGAGCAGGGCGTACGGCGCTTAGAAGATAAACCTTTAGGATCGTTTAGCCGGCTCTCCTCAGGCACCCCACCCCTTGTTTGGGCAGTTTGGCCCCCGGGGCACATTCAGGGGCAGTCCTTACACCCTGCACCCAAAGGTTTCCATGTGGCCCTCTAGGAAGTCCACTAGGCATTGGCATGGAGATCAAATCTATCAGCTCAGCACTCATATACTACGCTGATGGGCACGACAGAAAAACCCTAAAAGAGAGAGAGAGAGAGAAGCCAGGACATTTGTTTTCCTTGCCCCTGTGGCTGTGTTCTATCTCAGCGACATTCCACGGTCCTGATCCTTTGTCTCTGGTGGCAGTTGAAGTAGAAGAACCACTAGCTAATTTGTTCTGTTATTGTCCCACTACAGGAGATCCATTTGCTCATAAATGTTTATTCCCCCTAACTCCAAAGTCTCATCTCTTTTTCAGAGAAGCTGAATTCTGCCTGGTTTGAACTTTTAGTTTTTGGAAACTATGGGCACGAATGCAGCTGGTCCCCAGTAGGATACGCTTGCCGCAATATTCTGTTTGCTCGCATTTTAATCAACAACCTGAACGATTTTCTGGGAGAATATTATTCCATGAAAAGGTGTGACATTTTAATTAACGTCTGCAATGTCGTATTAAAAGAAGCAGGGAGCAAACTAAAGCAGATGGCAACAGCACCATTGCATGCCATGGAGCTTTAATTTACAAGATTTCCACTCTTGCAACTCCTTTTATGCCACTTGTCCTTGCTCCTCTCACATTTGTTTTAGGCACCTGTGCAGGGCCACATCCTCAATTGGTGTAAATCAGAATAGCTCCATTCGCTTCAGTAGCGCTATGCTGCCTTACACCAGCTGAGGATCTGGCTTCTGATTCTTTAGCATTGAGCTTTGCTACGTTTACAGAAACCTTGCCAGTGAATTAAACAGTAGCTAGGGTGCAATGTAAATCCTTTGCAGGCTTCTATGGCAACACGTTGAATTTGGGAGGATTAGCTAGTGATTGGGTTTGGGCCTTGGTTTCCTGCGTTCTAGTTCGGTGACTTCTTGTGTGATCTTGGGAAAGGTATTTAATCTTCGTGCCTCCATTTTCTCATCCAGGGATAATAAAACCTACAGCGCAATCACAGGGGTGTTGTGATGCTTAACCAAGTGAAGTCTATAAAGCTTTTTTTAGATTAACGCATGAAATGTGCTACATAAAGGT